AGAAGGAAGAAATCAAATTAAATATCCCAGATCTCATATACTAAAATCAGAACCGGTATCAATTGAAAATATAGAGATAGTATCTGAAACATTCATTAGATTTTGAGCCTAAGCAAGGATTTGATACTCTCCTTTTGACTATCTTCTGTCAAATCTCAGAAGAAACACCAATGAACCAATCAACACAACACACAAATAAAGAAAGCACTAACACTAACCATATTTGCTAAAAAGAACCTCAGAATATCAAGCTCGTAGTGATAAAAACTATATTTCAGTATGCTGCTTATAAAACTGCCACATGAGGAATCGAAGACCATCAAAGCTAAGGTTCGTAATCGCCTTTTGCTCTCTGTCGGCAGAAACAAGAAAATAGAAATAGTGAATAATGAATATAAGAGATAAGAAATGAAATAGGAACTGAAATCGAATGATCTGTACCTTTGTTAGTTGTGACTTTGTGTCAGAACTCGATAGAAGGAAGAAATCACATGAGGAATCGAAGACGATCAAAGGCTTAAAGCTAGGGTTTGTACTTCGTAATTGCCTTTTGCTCTCTGTCGGCAGAAACAAGAAAATGTAAATAGTGAATATGCCGTATGCGATAAGGTTAGTGGTTTTATTCTTATATTTTTAATTTTACACTTATATGGACAAATTTACTAATTTAGCCTCTCTTATTTCACAATCAACTATTTTATATTTTAAACGAGTTATAAATGGGTTGGGTCGTATCCGTGTTGACACGACCCGTTTAATAAAATGGGTTACGCGGGTTGAATCCGAACCCAACCCAACTTTTTTGTGTTCTAATCGTGTCGACCCTTATCCGACCTGAACCCATTTATACTAAACCCAAACCCGCCTAAATCGTGTCGTGTTCGTATTGTGTTATCGTGTCGTGTCTAATTTTGCCACCCCTAATAATCGAGGATCAAATGCCTATCTGCAGTGATGGGATTGCATGCGATGTAGGTACGGTCTGCGGGTACGTTTCTTTCTAAAAAATTGGAGTAGTAGATGAGTTGTAGGCCATTGGACAAGTTAAGAATGCAGTAGGAGTTGCCTGGGTCGGTGGGGCGACTGGTGGAGGTGTGGGTCGGCTTGATGAGTCAGCCGATGGGGTTTTTGGAGGGGATATTGAATGGGATTGGTGCGAATTTGAAGATTCGGTCGGATTTGTTGAAGAAAAACCCTAGCAGGGAAAGGTTTCGGGAGTTGTATTGGTCGATGAATGAGGGATTAGAAAAGCGTCGATTCCAGAGAGTTGAGATGCACTTGAACTTGGCCACGGATGGTGGTTGTAACCAAAGAATTATATCTTCGATCAGTTCTTCACACAATTCATTACTATCGACGCCATTGGCAAATCTTATCTGCTTCTCCATTCCCAATCTTCTTTTTACCCTATAACCCTCTCTGTCTCTCCTCGTATGAATTGTACGTGTCCTCTCTATCTCGCTGTAATTTAGATGAACTGGACGGAACCTCAATACATGAGCGTATGTACGACTTCAAATGACCATCACACCGATGCATTTCTTTATGATTGCAATTTCAGTGCATAAATCATTCCCAGCATCCTTCATCTTCTCAACACAACCACAAATCCCATTCTCACTGGCATAGACCTTGTCCCCGGGCAAATTCATCAATGAAAACACTACACATTCTCAACGGATGTGATAACCCACCACACTGGATGGCTCTATCAACCAATGCAAAACACTATTGAAGAATGTAGATGGACCAGACGACATATAATCATCCCCGAGAACGTCGGGGACATCAAATTCATTTATGTCCCATATAGATACTAGCGAAGAATATAAATTGAAAAGTACCCAAAAACCAGAAAACGTTTGGGGATGTTGAAAGTAGCGAAGGAGCCAGGTGCATAATCGAGGATCAAATGCCTATCCGTAGTGATGGGATTGCGTACGATGTAGGTACGGTCTGCGGGTACATTTCTTTCTAAGAAATTAGAGTAGTAGATGAGCTATAGGCCATTGGACGAGTTAAGAACGCAGTAGGCATCGCCTGGGTCGGCGGGGCGACCAGTGGAGATACGAGTTAGCTTGATGAGTCGGCCAATAGGGTTTTTGGAGGGGAAATTGAATGGGATTGGTGCAAATTTGAAGATTCGGTCAGATTTGTTGTAGAAAAACCCTAACAGGGAAAGGTTTCGGGAGTTGTATTGGTAGATGAATGAGGGATTGGAAAGGCGTCGATTCCAGTGAGTTAAGACGCACTTGAACTTGGCCACGGACGGTGTTTGTAACCAAAGAACTATCTCTTTGATCAATTCTTCACACAACTCATTACTATCGATGCCATTGGCAAATCTCATCTGCTTCTCCATTCCCAATCTTCTTCTTACCCTATAACCCTCTCTGTCTCTCCTCGTATGAATTGTATGTGTCCTCTCTATCTCGCTGTAATTTAGATGAACTGGACAGAACCTCAATACATGAGCGTATGTACGACTTCGAATGACCGTTACACCGATGCATTTCTTTATGATTGTAATTTCGGTGCATAAATCATTCCCACTATCCCTCATCTTCTCAACACAACCACAAATCCCATTCTCACCGACATAGACCCTGTCCCCGGGCTCATTCATCAGTGAAAACACGGCGCATTCTCGACGGATGTGATAACCCACCACACTGGATGGCTCCAGCAACCATTGCAGAGCACCATTGAAGAATGTAGATGGACCAGACAACATATAATCGTCACTGAGAACGTCGGGGACATCAAATTCCTTTATATCCCATATAGATACCAGTGAAGAATATAAATTGAAAAGTACCCAAAAACCAGAAAACGTTTGGGGACGTTGAAAATGGCAGAGGAGCCAAGTGCATAATCGAGGATCAAATGCCTATCCGCAGTGATGGGATTGTGTGCGATGTAGATACGGTCTGCGGGTACATTTCTTTCTAAGAAATTGGAGTAGTAGATGAATTGTAGGCCATTGGATGAGTTAAGAACGCAGTAGGCATCACCTGGGTCGGCGGGGCGATAGGTGGAGATGCGGGTCGGCTTGATGGGTCGGCCAATGTTTTGGAGGGGAAATTGAATGGGATTGGTGCGAATTTGAAAATTCGGTCAGATTTGTTGTAGAAAAACCCTAGTAGGGAAAGGTTTCGGGAGTTGTATTGGTCGATGATTGAGGGATTGGAAAGGCGTCGATTCCAAAGAGTTGAGACGCACTTGAACTTGGCCACAGACAGTGGTTGTAACCAAAGAACTATTTCTTCGATCAATTCTTCACACAACTCATTACTATCGATGCCATTGACAAATCTCATCTGTTTCTCCATTCCCAGTCTTCTTCTTACCTTATAACCCTCTCTGTCTCTCCTCGTATGAATTGTATGTGTCCTCTCTATCTCACTGTAATTTAGATGAACTAGACAGAATCTCAATATATGAGCGTATGTACGACTTCAAATGACCGTCACACCAATGCATTTCTTTATGATTGTAATTTCGGTGCATAAATCATTAATGCGACTCTGAATAGCATAAAACCCCACATTCGTCCATGCATACTGCGCAGCACGCACTATCGCATTACTTTTACTAGAATGCCCCCGCCTGATAGAGTTTATAATCCAATTTAATCAATTATATATAATATAATATTAAGTATTATTTGAGGTAAAGTTCAAAAAAATCCCATGCATATTTGAATTTGTCACCATATGTTAGAATAAAGCTATGATAATTGTTACCATATGCTTTGTGATTTCCACATCTTTAATAAGCAAACTTGTTTTTATGACATGCAGCAAAAAGTTCTAAAAAGATAACCTTCCCAAAAAAAAAAAAAATCTAAAAAGAAATATTAAGGTACGCTTTTCAATGAACTAACTTGAAATTCTTGTGTTGCATCACTGAAATAAGAAACAAATATTGAAATTTTTGTGTAATTACTGTCCTGTCTCATAATAAAAAAAATTGGAATTTATGCCAAATAAAATTAATTACAAAATAGATTCATGAAATTAATGATAAAATATAATAAAATGTGAATAACATATATTGATTCTATTAACATAGTTATAGTGACTACTTATGCTCATTTTAAATTCTGTTGCTAATATGTAAATAGATATGTGAGGGTTTGAAACTTGTTGAGGGCCTGAGGCCATTTTAATTCTTTTGCTAATATGTAAATAGATATGTGAGGGTTTGAACCTCATTCTTACGTGGTTCAACTACCCTCTAAAATTACGTCCACAAAAAGAGAGAGAAAACACGGACCTACTTGATCAGCCGCTCCAACAAAATTTTTTATCTATTACTTTTTGGTATTATATGTTTTTTTTTTTTTTTTTTTTTTTTTTACATATTAAATACCTATAAATTTTTAAAATTGCCCCCCACAACATTCTTTATCTTGTCAAAGTCCATCCTACCTTACATAATTTTCTGAGTGAGAGTGATTGGGTGCATGCCAATAGGACATTCTAGTTTTGGGTTGAACTTGTATTGATTTAAATGTGCAAAGTAGTCATTTATCTGATTCTAAGAATTCATCATATATCATGATATTATATTGTACTCTACAATAGTAGTTACTTTTGAAATATTCAGTTGCATACAGGTTCTTAAAAGTCTCGTGTAAATTTTTTCATATATTTTCAAACCAATGCGTGCGTTTATTTTGAAGTTAAGTTATTATGTTTCTCATCCTTCACTCTTCAGACACAGATTATATGGTAGTTGTTATAATAGAACAATTTGGCAACACCAAAAAACAGTGTATAAGGAAAACAGAAATATGAAAGCATAGAAGAACAAAGTAACATCTACAAAGTTGTGTCTCCTAACTGCTCTACCTTTGTCTGCTTTGAGCTTTAGCTCTCGTGGTGGCTTTGAGGATTAACTCAAAAACTCTTTCTATCTACCCCTTCGAGTAGAAACATTGGGAAAAAAAAAAAAACAGAAATTTGGAGCATACAAATACTTGGATCAAAGTTCTGTGGATTCTAACAAATTTGAACATTCATTAAATGGACATGGCTGAAGTACATCTACAATATACCAAGTTTTAACAGAAGACATATAAGAATATAGAAGACAATTGGTTTATGAATTGAGAAAATTAACAAAATTATTTTTGGAGGTCACCAATTTATTTGTGAATATCATCATCTACACCCATTGCTATTGATGATGCAAGCTCCGATCTGCCAAGACCAGAACCTGAACCCATGGATCTCCCCATGTAAAATGAAGCTGGGGTCCCTTCTCCATTTCATCTGATCCATCACTCAACCACAACTCCAACGTCTGCTAAAGACTAGTCTGCAAGAGTATTCAAATAAGGCGAGAAAAAAAAAAAAAAAAAAAAAAAAAAAATGAAAAGAAAAGAAGAGAGTCAGCAATATCATACAGATCATCTTAATCAAACTCGGTTTTTTAAGAATCAAAGAGATGCTATAAACAATTCAGATGGTTACCAGCAATTGGGTTGACAAAAGTCCTCGGTTTCAATCAGTTTGCTGCAAGAGGATTCAAATAAGGCAATCAAAATAAGTTAAATATAAGTCAGCAATATCATACAGATCATCTTAATCAAACTCGGTTTTTTAAGAAACAAAGAGACGCTGTAAACAATTCAGATCATGATACCAGCAATTGGGTGGACACAAGTCCTTGGTTTCAACTGGTGGATAAACCAAATTTCAGTCATCCATAATGAATAATAAATGCATGTGATACGTGAAATTAGCCTAAAAAGGTTTACAATCTATAGCTCCAAGTGTCTCTATATCAGTAGATAACACTCTTGTCAGGCTGGGGTCCTTCTGGAGGTTCAAGCAATGATACCTCCTCAAAGATGTAAAATATCATACATGCTGATGGTAGAACATTTATATACGATAAGCAACAATTCAATAATTGAGGACAGTCTTGCTGGCAAAGGCATCAAGGATCACAGGCTGATAAAGTAATTATGTGACAAGCATAACAATTTGATTGACGAGAAGGTATATGTAGTGCAAGTAAGTCTACAGAAAGTATATTATAGTAGCTATTAACTAAGGAATAACTACTTACGAGTAGATATATTAAGATTGACCAGCCTCAACTTAGAGTATCTGCCCATTGCAGGACTTCACTGTGAAATTATCCTTCTTGGGTGGAGGCTTAGGTTCAGTTGAAGAATTTGCATTCAAGTTGTTATGGCTGCCATCAGGACTGGGTTATGTAGATGATGAATCACTTTGAGAAGAAGCGCCATAAACATCAGACCCATCAAAATTGTTCAGCAAAACAACAGTAAACAGATAAACAATATTGGTGGTGTTCATAGTGTCAGATTTTGATGGCATTCTCTGGCTGTGCAATTATCGAGAGCAGCAAAAAAGTCTACTGACACTGCAGAAGCAGGTTGAGAGGCAAATAGATCAATCTTGGCCTGCACAGATGGTCACGTATAATAAGTTAACAGGAACAGATAATTTTAGCGCCAGATTGAAAATCTGCCCTTAAATTTCACGTCACCAATCAAAATATTCATTCAAGTATTTCAAGAATGCATTCTTCCAAAATTTATATTTTGAAATAGCCAAGCATGGAGTTCAAGTAGGAAGCATTTGACAGATTAAAAACCTTTAATATCTTTCGAATAGAATACCAAAAATATTTATCCCACCCCACCCCCGCAAAGCACAACTCATATATAAAGGGTACATTTTCTAGGAAAGTAAGACAGATACATAGAAATTTGCCCAAATGGAATCAGGGGAACACTAATAATTAGCCAAAATTTCACTTTCCCCCTCACACACACCCTAAAAGACAATTCATGTGGAAATAGTTACTTGTGATATAAAATAAAAGATCTCTGATAATATATTTAGTAATCATTGCATGACATAATAATATAGCAAGCAACTTAGCTTTTATTTATCTTTACGCCTCTAATTAACTAATCAGCCATTAATCAATGATCCAAATGTCTTTTTTTGGAGGGTCTGGGTAGGGCGATGGCTACCTCGATGTGCAGACCAACGCTGTGGATGCATAAAAAACTGCAGTTCAAGAATTCAAATTAAGAACAAAAGACAAAGAAAAAGAAAAAAATCTGACCTGAGTCTCAGAACTTCCCCCGGCTTCGACATGGGGTGCTACTGATACAAAATCTGCATCAGTAAACAAATCAACCTCTGACCAATAGTTATTCACATTAGACATTTCTGCAGGCTTCTGTGCATCCATGATGTCACCAATCAAACTTTGTTTGAGCAGATTCACTTGATTAAGGTTGCAGCAGCAGATTCTGTCAAATAGCAAAATAATCCAGAATTAATAGAAAACCATAACATAAATTGAGTTTATTTGTGATAAGTTTGACTAGTTATGCATATTTTCAATTTTGTATGTAATTTTTAGTTTCATGTAAATAAATTTTTTTTAATCAATAAACATGTCTAAATCAGTTCGATCAATGCAAGTTAAAATCATGTACTGCATGGACTCTCTGAGGTTCATGTACTGATACTAACTAACATCACAGGTACTGATGCAACCAATACAGTTTTGAAAATTTTCAATTGCAAACCTTTATTAGAAATATTACATGTACTAATGCAATCAATACAGTTTGGAAAATTTACAACTGCAAAGTTTTAATAAAATCTTTTACAATCTAATTAACTTTGATTAATTTCAAAACCTAAGTAACTTTAACTAGCTGCGCCTAAAATGTGATAAGTAGAAAAGACCGACCTTACCACTGAATGCTTAAAAATCAAATAAATAAATATATATATATATATATATATATAATCAACTAACAATTAACACTTAAATTCAGCTACTAAATTAAATGTCATGGTGCAAGATTTTCGGTGTAGCTCCATCATCATTTACCTATCTTCAGTTCTTCACTTCTATTTTGAAAATCCTTACAAGTTAAAAGGACAGAATACTAAAGACTACAGAATGAATCATTCTCTTTCAACCTGTTTGTTAAATGGTCTTTCCTCTCAGCCCAGCAGCTCATCATGAAGTGCAGGGACTCATAATAACCACATGTATACAAATTTGTTCAATTATCCAAATTAACAGAGTGCATAGCTCTAACTGCATTACCTGTATACTAATAGTTAAAAAATGAAGTACCACTCAAGGTTGTTGAATAGGCTGCTTTAAAAGGGCCAAATTGTTTGTTGATGCTTCAGCTCGAGTATTCCTCCTATACCATTCCCATATCAGTGGACAAAACGGAAAACAAGAAAACTAATTATAAGCAAAGTGATTATTGAAACCTATCTGCTTGCATCACAAACTATAGAACAAATTTCGTCATGTACCTATTGTGTATAAGTTAGTATCAATAAATTAAACCCCCAAGAAAGCTAGGAAAATTCCAGCTGAACTTCATCGGGGAAGTTATCTCCAAAATCAAAAAAATAGGGGAAATTCTCCAAATTTTCGTCATTTAGTGCCACCAAAATTGGCATTGCATCTGCAAGTCCCACGTTATCAATATTTGGTAGATTTTCCAGATTCCCAAGCCCTCCAAAAATATCACCCAATTCTTCTTCCTCATTCACCAGTGGGTGAATCGGGTCCCCATGCTCAGCCATCTGTTAAAAAAAATTACATAAGCATGTGTGTATATGTAAAAACATAAGCATGTGTACATATACTTATACATATATATATATATTCATGTTGAAGTATTGTGCAACGCTATTTTAGAGAAGTTCAGGAAAAGGAATTTGCTAAAGGGTTTGGAAAATGAGCAAGGGGTATGGGTTGAGGATTTTCAGGATATGGCCAATATTGTGCAACGCTATTTTAAAGTTGTTTTCCTGGCAGCAGAAAACCTTCAATCTCCAGGATACTATCAGTCTTATTCCTCCATTAGTTACTGAAGATATGAATAGAGTTCCCCATCTCTGATTATGTTACCTGCAGTAGATGATACTGCTATCACAACCACCATGGGCATTAACCCAATTCACCAATGCCAATCCTTTAGCAGCAGCAATAAAACTGATGATTCAAATTCTAAGGAATTCTCAACTAGTATGTCTCAATCTTGGACCCCCAGTTCTAGCAGCAAGCACAGGAAGAAAAAGGCAGTTTCATCAACAAATGAAAATATCAGGAAGGGTCTTAAGGCTCACTCATTCCCCTTCAAGGGATTGAGGCTGAGGGGCAACACAAAGACTCCCTCTAAATGATCGGGTTTGCAGCACGGAATGTGAGAGACTTCAAAAGCCTCCCAAAACAGCTAGAAGTCAAGTCCCTTCTAGCTGAAAATAGGATCTCAGTGATAGCACAGCTTGAAACAAGAGTCAGCTCATCCAATGTAATCTCAATTCATAGAATAATTCCTCCCCACTGGAACTTACTGCATAATTACAACGACTCCCCTCTTGGGAAAATTTGGCTGCTATGGAATCCCAACCTGGTTCATCTCTCACTAATTAAAGACACAAGGCAAGCCCTTCACTGTTCAATAAGGATTTTGGCTGACAATAGCTCATTTAAAGCCTCTTTCATCTATGGTGCAAGTGAAGTTATGGATAGGAGAATGTTGTGGGAGGAGATCACTGCATTTTCAGAGATCTTCTCTTCTTGTCCTTGGATCTTACTGGGAGACTTCAATGCTACTTGTAGGTTAAGTGAAAGGCATGGAGGTTCACTAAGATGGAATGCTGCAGCTAATGATTTCAGAGAGTGTATCTATGGGGCTGGTCTTGATGACCTTAGATTCAGTGGAATCATGTACACTTGGAATAGCAGAACCATGGAGTTGCTAACATAGAAAAAAAGCTTGACAGAGCCTTAATCAATGAAAATTGGAACTTCTCGTACCCTAGATCAGAATGTTTATTTCTCCCAAAGGACTTATCAGATCATAGTCCAATTTTGGTGAAGCGTGGTGAGCCACAGCAGAGGAAACAAATCCCCTTCAGTTTCTTTAACTCCTGGGCCTCCAATGAACAGTTTCTCCCTACTATAGCTACCACATGGAACACCTACATTAGAGGCACTGCCATGTATCAAGTTGTCCAAAAACTGAAAGCACTTAAACATCCCCTCAAGCTCTTATCAAAGACTACTCCATCACCATCCTCCCAAAGAATTTCTGATATCAAGCAACAGCTTAACACATGCCAGAGTGCCCTTGATCACAACACTCTGGACTATTCTCTGAGAATGGTAGAAACTGATCTTCTGCAGCAGTATTCAAGCCTCATCAATGTTGAAAAACAAAAATTGAGACAAAAATTCAGAATCAGGTGGCTACAACTGGGGAATTGCAACTCTTCTTTCTTTTACAAGCCCATAGGGGAGCAAGAAATAACAGAAAAAAGGTCATTACTCTTTCTAATCCAGCTGGTGGCCATATTGAAAGTGACATTCTAATCAAAGAAGCAGTCCTAGCTCATTTAAAATCACTCTTAGGTAACACTTCTCACCTTTACGGTTTACCCTGGTAGTCATTTTCTTCAGCCCTTCATTCTAAAACAGTTCCATCCCACTTCAATAATCACCTTACTGCCATCCCTAGTGATGCTGAAATTCATACTTAACTTCTTCTTCTTCTTCTTTTTTTTTTTTTTTTTTTTTTTTTTTTTCTTCTCTCTTAACAAAGAGAAAGCTCCTGGTCCAGATGGATTCAATGTTTCTTTTTTTTTTTTTTTTTTTCTTCCACAAAGCATGGTCCATAATAGGAGGTGACATTATCAAGGCCATCAAAGAATTTTTTACAAATGACAAACTTCTTCAAGAAGCCAATTGTTCCTACACTTCACTTGTCCCTAAAACCCTTAACACGTCTACCCTTAATGAATTCAGACCAATATCATGTTGTAATACTATATATAAGTGCATTTCTAGACTGTAAGCACTCAAAGTGAAGCCTGTCCTACCACTACTCATTGATCCAAGCCACTCTGCATTTGAACAAGGAAGATTCATAAGTGATGTTCTACTTGCCCAGAAACTTATGCATGGTTACCACCTCTCCATATCTCCATCCTCACCTAGATGTGCAATAAAATTGATTTTCAAAGAGCCTTTGATTCAGTTAACTGGGAATTCATATTTGATGCCCTATCACTACTCAACTTCCCACGGCAATTCACTCATTAGATCAAAGCATGCATTACATCACTATCATACACCATCTCAGTCAATGGTGAATTCACTGGTATTTTCAAAGGTGTTAAAGGGGCTGAGACAGGGTGACCCCTATCCCCATTCCTATTTACCATTGTCATGGAGGCCCTCTCTTCCATCATCATCCCAATCACTTCCTCCTCACCAAATTTTAAGTTCCATTGGAGATGTAAGATAAGGTCACTTGCACACCTAACATTTGCAGATGACCTGCTTATATTCTCTAATGATAGCTTGAGTCGGTGTTTTGCGCAATGCCCTTAACATTCTCATTCATATCTGGTCTCAGCATCAACCACTCCAAAAGCTCATTGTTCTTTTGTGGAATCGACTCTTCCACTCGGTCCCTTATTTCAAACCTACTGGGGATTGGTATTGGTACTTTACCTATTAGATATCTAGGGGTGCCACTTGTCACAACAATGTTGAGAGCCTCAAGCTGCAAGGCTTTAGTGGACAAAATTACAGGCAGAATTGCTCATTGGACCAGCAAGGCTATCTCCTATGCTGGGAGAATACAACTCATACAGTCCATTCATAATCAGCATCCAAATATTTTGGGCCAGCATGTTCAGGAACTACCTATGGTCTGGGAATGGTTGCAACAACAAGAAAGCTAAAGTGGCTTGAATCAATGTTTGTAAACCTAAAGGGGAGGGAGGCCTTGGCATTCCAAATTTGGAGCTTCTCAAAAAAGCATCCATGTTAAGACACCTTTGGAAGATCATAACTGATTGCAAAGACAGTTCATGGGCACAATGGATATTAGAGTATCAAGTGAAAAACAGATCCTTTTGGGAACTGAAAATACCTCAAAAATTGTCATACAAATTGGAGGAACCTTTTGCAACTCAGACCAGTCTTAAAGAAGCTGACTGAGGCAAAGAAGGGAAATGGAGAATACATCTCATTCTAGCATCACAACTGACTGGAAGATGACCCCCTGTGCTGCAGGTTCACACATGAACAGATTAAAGCCAGTGGAACTCCCTTCAATGCCAAGATGAACACTTGGTTGTCAGCAAATTCCAGGATTTTTCCAGAGAATATACTAAATCTGCTCCCCAATCCACAATTGCTCTCTCCACCTGACTTGGGTATTGATTCATTCACCTGGAAGCCCTCCCCAAATGTCAAGTTCTCACTAAGACACACCATATTGACTCAATTACTACACCTTCCCCCCTGCTTATGGTACCAACTGGTCTGGAATTCAATGTCCATACCAAGACACAGAGTCATTCTTTGGCTGGCTGTACTCAACAAACTACCCACCCTTGATCACTAATCCATGTTCTACAAACATACTGCTAATCATTGAACCATCTTTTCTTCTCCCGGTTCCTTCACCTCTCCAATCTGGTCACACATTCAAATTGGTCACCTCTCCAATCTGGCTTCACATCATTGGACATCCAAGAACATTGCAAATGCCATCAACAATCTATCAAATTTTGGGCAGAAAGAAATTCAAGAGTCTTCAAAGGTATATCCAATTCACAGAGCTCAGTTCTGCTGAAAACCCCCACTCCAGTAAGGGAAAGACTCCTCCCCTTTTCACTCAAAGACGGCATGGCTGCTCGGCGTGCCCGTAATCTTTGGGACCTCCCTTCTTCCTCCATCCGACCACCACCTCCGCCACCAGACTCGATTCGTTAAGCTAGCTAGCAAATGCTTAGCTGTGTGTTGCCGGCTCTTCACCGGAGAAGATGACTCTGGTGCCAACGGATTGATTTTCAAAAGTTTTGGGTGGGTTAAATCCTTGCGCTGTTGTTTGTCCTTATTGGATGGTCTTTGTTTTGGCCTTATACTTTATATATGGTCTTGTTTTGTCTTTTTATTTTTTTTATTTTTTTAAAGAAATCTTGTTCATATATATTCACATGATTTACAGAAATCTTGTAAATATGCATCTTAATGGTAATTCATACATTATATACAATTCATGTCTGCAGAATTCGAGAATATATATGTGTGTGTGCGTGTGTGTGCGTGTATAGTATAAGAATGTATACATACAAATAATTTACAGAAATCTTGTATACATACTTAATATATTCAAATAATTTACAGAAATCCCGTGCATATACAGACTTAATATATTCAGATTATTTGCAGAAATCTTGAACATATGCATAGTTAATAATTTAATTCATACACAAACAGTATATGGTTGTATATACAACAACTAAATGCATTTTTGCGGAATTCAAAATTTTATATTTGTGTGTATGTGTGTAATGTATATTGTATACCTTCAAATTACGCTGAATTCTTCCGGAAACTAGAGTTCTTGCAGTTGATGTCGATACTTCTTGGAGTTCCTTCTGCGTTCTGGGAATTGATCCAGGAAAAGCTGTTCGCGTTCTTGGAATATGTAGGACTTTTTCTCTTTCTTTCGGATACTGAAGTTGGCGGTATAGAGTGTACATTGAGCGGTGCAATGTATTGCTATGATTTTGCTATTTGTTAGTGAAAATATTTGTGTACAGTGTATCTTTTTTTTATTATTATTTAAAAAAAGGTACATTTCAATTTATAAAATTCAAAAAAGTGCAAATAAGCGTAAAGTAAATTTTAAAACCCTAATCTACCCCTTTCTCATATCATCAACATCAAACAATAGGGGTTTGTTTGTTTTAGTTTTTTTTTTTTTTAGCATGAATCATATTAAATATAAATATTTATTTATGTAGGTCAAAGATTACATGAATTCTTTATGGTTTTTGATGTTAGTACGAAACACATTAAATATAAATATTTATTTTTGTAGGTCACAAATTATATGAATGCTACAAAATTTTGCTTTTAGTACTAATAATATTAAATATAAATATTTATTTCTTTAGGTCTGAAATTATATGAATACTATATCCATATAATTTCATATTTTATGTAATGCTTTTAAATTATTTGTTTATTCTTCCTAATTAATTTTGGTAAGAAATTTCTAATTTTTCAATTATACATATAAAATTATTTACTTTTACTTTTTCAAATATGTTCTTTAGTTTTTTTTTTTGGTCTATGATGAAACAAAATATAATACATACATCTCTCTCTCTCTCTCTCTCTCTCTCTCTCTCTCTCTCTATCTATATATATAATATAGTTATGTTATTTTTCATTAAAAAAATTAGTCCCCACTATTGTTTCACACTACTTTGATTAATAGAAAAAATAAACATAATTTATATAAACTTTTACTAAATAGTAATTTTTTTAAAAAAAATTATCTCTTAATAACTCTATTGTTCCCGCATCATTTTTTTTATCAACTATGATAATTTTACATTGCCTAGTCTTTTTAATATTATTTCATTTTATTGATGATAGGGTATTATAGTCTTATTATGTGAACATGGGGGTATTTGCACCAAATTGATAGTATAAGATTTTTTTTTGAAGGCAATATCCGCACTCCACTTTTCAACATTTGCACTACAATTATTAAATGAAATGGCAATTCTAACCCTAACTTTACAAGTAAATAATTATTATTTTTTAAATGACAAAACTATCATTTTGAATTTCTTATCCTTATCTCTAATCTTTATTATTTTAGGTCTATTTTGAGAAGACAAAAAATTAATTGAATAAAAAAAAAAATTACTGGACCAAGAAATAAAAATTTATGTTGAATAAATTGACTCTTTTGACTAGACCGAAAAAATAAAAAGTAACCATTAAAAAAATTATCTCTTTTGACATGAAAATATATATATATTTATTAAAGAAATTATCTTTTTTGTCAAGATCCCCAAAGAAAAAGAAAAAGTATGAAAATAAGAGGATTAAATTTTTTTTTTTTTTATCTATATTGAATAAATTATCTCTCTTGATAAGACCCAAAAAAAAAATAATAATAAATAAATAAAATTATTTTTATCTAATAAATTATTTCTTTTGACAGGACCATAAAAAATTATCAAAAAAAGAGTTAAAGTTATATTAAGGATAGTTATGACATAATAAATTCAGGAATAATGCATTAATGAATTCAATGGCCTTCTTGCCATTTCCTTTAAAAGAAAAAGGTAAATATAGTGCAATTGGAGTATTTCCTTTTTTTTTTTTTATATTACAGACTCACACGTGGACTTTTTTGCACTATATCAGGTTGTGTTTTATTTGGCACCCAAAGTTCCACTTAGAAGTGAACTTAAGAAGTAGGGATGACTACTGTATGGTAACATAATTAAAAGTCGATGTGCGTTTGGGCAAGCCAAATTTAGTGATAAACTCACCCGAATATATATATATATATATATATATATATATATATATATTTAAAAAATTTATATCCATATATAAAAAATAAAAAATAATAAAAAAAAAGACAATACTTAGCTACTCACCGGGTGAAGTTACTCACCCTTATATGGTCCAATAATAAAATAACGCATCTCCTTTAATAATAAAATAATCCACACTTTTTCTGCTTTTTCGAATAAACCATTGAATAAACGTATATTATGTTTTTAAGTATAGATTATTTTATTATTAAATGTGATGTGTTATTTTATTATTGAATCACATAAGGGTGAGTAGTTTCACCCTACTCACCAGTAAGTAGTTAAGTATTATCCTAAAAAATATATTTAATAGGGATTGCCCCAATCCTTACAAATATTTTACAATTTGCAAAAATTATGTTACGGCTTCAACAAATTAAAGATTTTCACGACTATCCAATTCATATGGAATAAGGGCAACCATGTTTCACTGAGATGTCACAAAGAGTTTCAGTTGTATGAGAATGGAGATAAAGAGATAAGAGGTTCTGAATTGTTATTATTATTTTCATTAACAGCTTTTGTGATTAACATAGCCAATATCCAGACTCTTTGTTGTGGGAACAATAAAAAGCAGTAGTTTTTTTGCTTCCGGTTCTGGGCCATATTCGACAGTAGTTTCCAACTTTTAAAAACAAAACACATGAACACAAACAATGTTTCTTCCTTCATTGAATTTTTTGAAAGACTTTCTGGCAAATTGAAAATGAAGAAAAAACAACACAACAAAATGAACAAAACAATTATGAATTAAGTGGTTGAATAAATTCAAATTATTATATTGCTACAAAAAATTCCTCAGTAAAGACCACAAGCAACATGAACAAAGAGATCATGAACATTCCATAGAACTCAGCCTCAGAGGCATCTCTTCCATTTTTTCTGCTACTTGTAAATTCTTTGCTTTTAAGCATCTCTTCCATTTTTATTGGATCAATCTTTAAACTTGCGTTCACCTGAAATCAACCAAGAAACAAATATCTAAGTTATAGAACCCTTGTTATGAATCTCCTCAGAAAATCATTGTGATTGGTCAAAATGGTCAACAATGTAAAACTCTCTGCTACACATGCACACTTTCATACCTGTTAGTAATTTGTTTTTAAATTTCGTCTTACCCTTCTTTTATATATTATGCATGCCTAAAATCAAATCAGTTGTCAATGATAGTGTAAACGATGTACATTATCTGTGAAAACTGACTTTCTAGCCTTACTAGATGACAAATTTTCCCACTCTGAAATCCTTTATGTTCTCATTCAATCCTTCTCTCACATTATTTCCTTCAGATGTATCAATTGGGCAAACAATATGTACCAATTTTGTACATATAAAATGTGTATAGAACCAATTTTGTATTGTATATACTACTAGTATGTAACAAATTTTCAATTTTAAAATAAAAAACTATTTGCACTTATCAAAAAATAAATAAAAGAAAATTAAAAAAAAACACTATTTGCAATGTTAGTACTTGTAATTTTGGAAATACCACTTCGGTCCTTCAACTTTCTAGGGGCATATCAGGTATTGTAAATTATTGATTTTTACAAACCTAACAACAATTAATATTATCAAACCTCAGTGGGTGTCTTTGTAATTCAATCTAATTAATAAAATCATAAAATAGGTTAACAATAGCATGATACTTATATATTTATATTTTCTACATATCTATAAAGAGTACATTAACATAATATATATACACTCACAAATATATATCTTGTAGCTTTTTGTATCGTTTTGTTTGTATGTTTTCGTGTCTGTATCATGTATCCATGACTGTGCTTCAGAGACACAATGATTCGTTTGGTACAAGAAATGAAAATCAAAATGATGCGAAAACATAACTATACAAAACAAGGGAGTTTAAATAAAGAACTAACTTGAACTTGGCTACGGATAGTGGTGGTAACCAAAGAACTCTCTCTTGGATCAATTCTTCACTCAACTCATTGCTATTAACTCCATTGGCAGTTCTCATCTGCTTCTCCATTCCCAATCTTCTTCTTACCCTACAAACCCTTCTTTCTCCTCGTATGTGTGTTCTCTCTCTTTCTCTAATTTAGACGAACTGGGACGGAACCGCTTCGTTTGGAACCAACATTAGGATTTCAAATAGGAACGAGAAAACGATTTAGATTATAATTAAGGGCAGGCAAAAGTGGGCTAAAAAAAATGAAAAATGATTCTTCTACATAATATCATTAATGATTAACAAAATAATTATATTAATATCTTCTCATATTTAACAACAATATATGAATTTTTGTAACAGTAAAAACTAAAATATTGTGATACTAAGGTGATAACCAACAAGATTGCGAGTGTATGAGTGGTATGTGTTTCTTGACAAAGAAAAAAAAAATTTGATAAAAATGCCAATAATAACAATATAATCCATATGATAATATTTTTAATTGTCACTTATTAGATTGCAAATTCTATAGTCATTTATTGTATAAATTATTAAAGCACTTCTCAATTTTTTTTCTACTAATTATGTTTTGTTAAATTTTATTTGTTTAAAATGTTATATTTTTTCTCTTGATATTTCACCAAGTTTTTTTTCCTAAATAATATTTCATCAAGTTAAAATACATGTCTTTCTCAAAATGGAATTAAAGTAATCAAAATTTTATTCTTCAAAAATTAAAACAACCATTGAATAAAATTTAATTCTTAAACAATATTTTTTCATTATAATTTCTTTTTTTTATCTGTAACTTATTGCTTTCTCTTCTCTATTTTTTTTTTTTTCCTTCTCATATTAGCTTTCTAAATACTTACTTAGATTCATGTTTTTTCATTGTATTTTTCTCAGTATGTAAACTAATAAGAACAATATAATTAAGAAAATCATATTACAATTTATTTTTAAAAAATTTAAATTTTAGTTACATAATACTAGTTCTGCGGCTTCTGCTCCCCAAGGCAAAAATGGCTAGGGTCTAACATAATAAACAATTTACCTTACAACTTGCTCACACACCATCATTGGGGTCAGTGCTTAGCTGGTAACTTCTCCCCAAAGAGAGGTGAGGGTTCACATTTCAGAAAAAGTTACTCACAAACCCATTTTATCACTCTTATCATGTCACTAAAAAAAAACAGAGGATGAATTGAGGTAGTAAGGTATATAAGTTGTATCAAAATTTATTTTAATGCTTTACAACTAAAAATAATAATTATTTTATTTTCAATAATTTAAAAACAAATTAATGGTATCATGAGATTTGTAGAGAAGAGGACTTGGATCCTCTAATAAATTCTCTCTCAATTACATAATTCAACTGTTACAAATATATCATACATCATATTTTTTTTGTTGGGATTAAATTGTACATTAGCCAATAAACAGTGGTAGCAAGTGATGAGATGGCACGTTTGTAAATGTTGCCTTAGATATACTCGGAGAGGAAAACTATTGGAGATTATTTTTACCAATATTACACAATTCGTGGGTGACAAGGTGACAGGTAAATGAAAACAACCCATTTAAAATTTTGTATTCAATGCCATATATACGGCTAAGGATAACGATTTAGAGTCCAAAAATCAGATAAATCCGACTTATTTATATAAGTTATGGTTGAGATCATCATGATATTATTAATATCATTAATATCATTTTGACACTTATCCCTTATTTAAATAAAATTAGTCAGATGTGTTTGACTATCGGACTCTCTATCATTGACTAAACGATGAAGCAACACATTTTTTTTTACTTGGCTCTTACCTGATCATCTCCAATGGCTTCTCAAATGGTCTCTCAAACTCAAAATATAGCACATGAATAAAAAGATCTCTCATATTTTGAGATTGTCAAAAGTATTTTCAAATATAGTAGCTCTCAAATGACCTCTCAAACTCAAAATATAACAAGTGGGTGAAAATAAGGCACTCCAATGGGCTCTCAAAAGACTCATATTTTGAGAATGACAAAATTTGCTAAAATGAAAATAAGGCATTCCAATGGGCTCTCAAAACATGGAGTGATTATTGTGTTAAAATATAGCATTTTGGATAAAATGCATCATTGGAGCACAATTGTAAAAATATAACATTTTAACACTGTAACTCCTCTCAAAATATAAATTTGGTATGAAAATATAGCATTTTGCAATGGAGAAGAGATGGGATCAGATGATCTTAACAGCTTGTATGGCTCTCGTAACTGCTGGAAATCATTCATTTCAGTTACCTAAGTAGTGTTCTATCTTTCAACCACCTTTGAATCTGGTTGTTCCCTTTGCTCTTTTGTCACTTCTTGATCAATTTTTCTAAATGCCACTACTGCTTAGGTTGTCTTTGTTCACTTCATAAGCTCTATGGAAATAATTATAACATAACAATCAAGTTATAGATCAAAACTTAAATTACTTTGCTCTGTATCAGATAATCAAAAAGCGAAATTTATCAAAAGACATCAAGAAGAATAACTTCACCTACCATGATCTCTTTAATATATCTAAGAATACAAACAATTAGAAGGGCCTGTTGTGAAGCTATTTCATGAAACACGACTTGTATGGTGCATTTCAAAGAAATCAAGAAAGTGGTTTTCCTGTGGGTACTAAAGAAGAATCAGATTGCTTCTGGTTCCAGTATATCACACCCACAAAGAACTTAAGCTAACTTTTACATTGCTGTTATGTTCAGATTTTCAATTAAAAAATTGTTAAAAATGATTTAAGATGATGGTGCAATTCAAAACATTAGAAGGATTCACATGTCATTAATTACAAACAACATGTTTACACCATACATACACAGAAAATAGAAAGTTAAAAATGCTATGGTAGCTTCTTTGATTACAGGTACATGGTAGCTTCTTTCCAAGAGAGCTAAAATCTTGTTATATGACAAACAAACATCAAAAGCAACAAGTACTCACAGGTTCAAGTTCAACTATTATATTCTCACTGGCTGGATACAGGAACATTTTCTTCACCTGGTGTTGGGTCAACTGTGGGCGACTTCTTTGTAAGGGACCTGGGTATGTCAACATCATCTTGCACACAACGTTGCTGAGGGTGTGATAAGAGCACACACATGTGACGGAAAAGGACGCGTGTTAGCCCCTGTCCACTCTCAAATATGTAGCCCTCATACTCGCTTACATGTTCAAGAGCATCCACGAGTGCATCATACACTTTTTGGGGACAATTGTCAGGTCCAGGCTTGTCATGGAGGTAAACTACATCCAAAGTGAAGAGTTTCTGGTTTGCAGGCCATTGGTATTGTGGTTTTACAGATGATCTGCAGTAGATCAGGATCTGGATATGACAGAAAAGTACACTCTGTGTAAGACTTCATAGACAGAACATGCAACCAAGGAAATTTCAGGGTTTAAAATCATTCTATATTTTTTTTCCTTTTCTTTTCTGGTGGGTAAGTAAGCAACACACACACACACACACACCCATTTTGCCTCACTTGGGGTTTGAACCCTCGACCTCCACTTTATGGGGGTGGACGTCATCCACCAAGGCCAAGGACCCGATTTCATTCCATTATTTCTGAAGAAAATGGATATAGATTATTGTCAAGAATTAAGTCCTTCTGAGAAGTAAATGGGTAGCCGGTAGCAACTGCTTAATGATGAAATCTTAAATAAATGATAAAAACCAACTAGAAACGATTAATGAAAAATGAGCAGAAGAATTCTAAGAGTTCAAACTAAATGATTCTACCATCTAGTATAACTGCAAGAAAAGGTTGGACATTGATCCAGCTACTGATGAGTTAAGGAAGACTCAGAAGTTTCTTCTTCAGAGCTACCAGAATTTCTCCAAAGCTGAGGAACAATTTTACCATAAAAAGCTAGAGTGACTTGGTTGAAGGATGCGGATCAAAACACCAGGTACTTCATGAAGACTTTTAACAGTAAATGTAACAGGAAGAGGATTACCACGATGACATTACCTAATGGGGAGATCTCTGACTCCATCCTGCAATTGAAGCTGAAGCTATCAACCACTTCAGTAGCATTCTTGCAGCCATCCTAATCATTACCCTGGTATGGATTCTCTCACTTCTGTGATCAATAAGTCCATTCCTAGCTCTTGTTTTGAATCCATGATGGCTATCCCATCCATGGATGAAATTAGAGATTGTTTTTTCTCTTTGAAAAACTCCAAATCCCCAGGGCCTGATGGTTATAGTGCATATTTCTTCAAGAAGACTTGGCATATTGTGGGAGAGGACACTACTAGTGCTGTGAGGGAATTTTTTTATTAATGGGCAGCTTCTTGAGGAAGTCAATTCCACTTACCTATCCCTGGTTCCTAAAGTCCCTAACCCTACTTCTTTTAATGACTTTAGACCTATCTCATGTTGCAACACCATCTACAAAGTCATATCTAAGTTGCTTGCCAACAAGATCCAGTCTCTCCTCCCCTCCCTTATTGACAAATATCAGACTGCATTCAGTAAAAATAGGAGGATTGGAGATAACTTGTTCATAGTCCAAGAATTAATGAAGGGATGCAGTTAGTGACAGATTGCAATGGACCATCTCTCCTAATGGTTCATTCAATCTCAGAAGCACTTATTATAGCCTCCTTCCTCCAGCTCCTTTTTTCTGGATGGCCTAGTGTCTAGGCATGCTTTCATTACTTGGTTAGCTTTGAACCACAGATTGAAGACCAGAGATAGGTACAGCTCTTCCACAGCAACAATAATAGAATATGTTCATTATGCTCTGTGAATGACGAAGACCATAATCATCTTTTTTTCAACTGCCCTTTCTCCTGGGGGTGGCCACGAATCGGATCGGATTAGGTATCAATCCTAATCCAATCCGCTCGCAACGAATTGGGAGATTTTGAATCCGCCACCAATCCGTTAGCCCACGGATTGGATCGGATCCAATCCACGGACTGGATTTTCCAAAATAGTCTATTTTCACCCAAAAAAAAAAAACTAATTGTATAATACTTACCAAAAAAAATAAAACAAAAAAAGTAAGGTATTATATACTGGTTAGGAAAAAGTAAAGATATTACTATAATATTAATATTATATATATATATATATATATATATATATATATATATATATATTTTACAGACGGATCGGATTCACGGATCGGATCGGATTTTTGAAAGCCTAATCCGTGATCCGATCCGTGAACTACGGATTCAATTTTTTTGAATCCGCCACCGATCCGTGGGTCTGGTAATCCGATTCAATCCGTACGGATCGGATCGGATTGGATTCGCGGATTTTTTGCCCACCCCTACTTTCTCCAACATCATTTGGCAGTACTTCCAACACAAGTGTGGTATCTATCGTGGTGAGCAGAATTTGGTTTCTATTGCCAATAGGATAGCATCTTTGTGGAATCCTAGTTCTAATTCCAGCAAAAGTATTGCCGACAAGCTATGTTTTGCTGGAATAATATACTATTTGTGGAATGAAAGGAATAATCGTACCTTTTCTAGGAAGCGCACCTCAGTTGCTGGGATATGTAAGCTCATTGAAGATTGTATTAGAGGCAAGCTAGCTTCTTCACATTTTAGGGATGGTCTTTCCTCTGGATCGGTTGCAGCGGACTGGGGACTCCCTAGTTCAGTTCTTGATGGGCATCACCCTTAGTGTTTTGCCTGTTTGTTGTTAGTTTTCCTTCTCATTCTTCTATTTTGCAGTTGTGGTATGCTTTAGTGTTTCAACTGCTTTTTAGAGGCAAGCTAGGTTCTTCGCATTTTAGGGATGGTCCTTCCTCTAGATCGGTTGCAGCGGACTGGGGACTCCCTAGTTCAGTTCTTGATGGGCATCACCCTTTGTGTTTTGCCTGTTTGTTGTTAGTTTTCCTTCTCATTCTTCTATTTTGCAGTTGTGGTATGCTTTAGTGTTTCAACTGCTTTTTAGTTGTTAGATGGGTTGGTTTTGGTTTGCTTTGGCCTTGGTTGGGCTTCGCAACCCCCCACCCCACCCCCCCTTCTTTTTGTACAGTTGGGTTTAATACATTGAATTACCAGGGGGAAGAAAAAAAAAATTGCAACAGAAACAGTTTTCTCTAAGGTGGGTAACATCATTGTCCAGTAATGAAAATGACAGAAACACTCAATGTGTAACATGGCTCTGCAACAAGAAAATCAAAACAGGTGCATGTGGTTCAGTTCAACTCAACGAAACCTCAATGTAAACAAAGACTCATATTCTTAGGGTTTTTTTTTTTTTTTCAATCAGCTCTTGCACTTTTGGTACCTTCAGAAATATAGTGGGAAATATTAATATAGATGGGGATATTGCCGAACATTCATCTACAAACCTCAAAGCAAAACTCTTTATGAACTCAAAAACTATACACACACACACAAAATAAATAAATAAAAATGAGAAACCAATAAAACAGATACCATAACAGCAACAATGAATCAAAGAGGGGGGGAAAAAAAACAGCAACAGCAATCCTTCCCTTTCAAATTCCATTTCCCTTCATTCTCTTCTCACAGCCAATAAATGGCAAGGGCAAGCCAATAAATGCCCGAGCATATATTGTTTTCCCCATGAACTCATGTATAGTATCCTGCATGGTCACCTCACATCCTCACAGCCATCACTACCCTCCCACATCCAGTTAAAAAACAAAAATTCAACTCAAATCAAATTAACAAAGCCTTTCCAAACTACTTATGATCGGCTACATGAACCCTATTTTCTTATTCTGCTCTAAGGGCATGGCCTCGATGAATCCACATGTTATCATATCTTTCCTTATTAATTCTACCCATGTTAATTTTGGCCCATGCAAAGTGCCATATGTCTTTTCCCAAAAGGAAAATAAAAATAAAATAATATCAATTGGAGAGAAGATGTTCAGAAGTTTTATTGCTTAAATTCTTAATATAGTGCTAATATAGTGCAGCATCCGACACAGCTACCTAGTGTGGGAATACGAGTTCAAGATTTAAAGCAGTGATTTTGTATAAAAATACTAAAGATTTGTCATGCCTTCTTCTTGTTTTCATCATAGTTAGCAGCTCCAGCTCCCTATCAAGGCCCCAATCATTATCATCACTAAGGGGTTGGGGGCAATAGACTATCCCTAATTTTTAATTTTACATTCTTCAGTGCCAAAATCTTCTGTACAATTTGTGTAGAATAAATAAATGGAATTTTTAGTAACAGTAATAAAAGCATGAGGTGATATAGGAAAAGGGACCCCAAGCATTACTCACCACCCTGAAAATCCTATTTTGGGCTCGGGATTTTCTTGCTTCATGAGCTGCTACTCGGAATAGCTGGGTGAGATCTGCCTGACCAGACGATGAATCAGCAGCAAGACCCCGAAGTGCAGCAACTGCAGAATCAACTTCACTGCTGAACTCTTTTCGGAGCTTCAAAATAATGATGAAGAAAAAACCTCTCAGCTAATATGAGCAAAAAAAACAAAAACAAAAAATATGCATAGATTACGAAAAATTCATTGTGAAGTTAGTGGTTGACTGACTCTTCTAGAGCATTATTACATGCATTAAAAGCACAGTACCATAAGTTTAAATGTAGTTTGGGAATGCATTCTCATAGAGCACAATTTGAACCAAAATAATAACTATAAATTAATAAGAGTTAAAAACATAAAATATTCTCAATGGTAATATCCTTACAGTAGTCAATAGTTGTGACTAATTGTGCTACCCCTCCTTTAAGACCAAAGAGTTATTGAAATTTGACATTTTGCAAAATATGATTCTTAGACAACATGATCTGAAATTCCTGAAGTTATTTAAACTATTTGTAGGGAAGTCTTATAGATAATAAAAATTTTAACATCACTATTTGGATCTTTTAGGAATAAAATTGGTTAAGGATCAAAACAACTCTGCAACTGCATTAGGAGGAAATCTTCAACTTTTAAACATTGTGTACGTACGCAAGTACTTTATTAGGAAGAATGGAAATCATTCAGGTATTAGGTGAACTATCATGCACATAAGAGATTGTTTTATTCATTTAGTTATTTACATTTATTTTATCAAAATATGATCAGCTGAGGCAAAAGAATAGTTCAATAGCCACTGTCACAACAAACAAGATAGAAAACAAGCAAGCATAGAAGAGAAGCCTAATGGAGGCCAACTGGAAGTTAATTTATGAAATCAACAGAAGATGAATTCTAACTACGATTGGTCAATAGAAAAGAATATTATTAGCTCTAAGATTGGCAAAAATTGGAATCTTCTTCTAAATGAAGCTTAATTTTAAAGTCAATGCACCCAAATTCCACATTAGAGTTGTGGTAGACTTTGACCTTCATATAATATAAAGTTCAAAATTAAAGCCTCACTTCCTCAATATCAGAAGGAAGAGCCGCTTCAAATGAACTTCAAGAAACTAGAAGAGCTGATAGGCACATGGCATCAAACATGCTGCCAACTTGAAGGGATTTGCTAGGTCGACAAAGGATCAAGATTGTACCCACCGTTTATTTTGTAATAGGATCAACTTTCGATCCTTATTATGTAAAAAATGACTTGATCCATGCTTTCTAATATTAGGTTCAAGGGAAGCCGACGACATGACAGTCTATTTCCAACCCATGTTTTCAGATCATAGTTTATCAAAATAGTATCTTACTGAAATACAAAGTCAAATCAATATTACACACATAATGGTTCCCCCTCCCAAGGCCACGCATTGTATGGTTTTATTAAGGCATAAGTGCTCCAAAAACTTAAATTATGCAACTTGCATAAGCTTGCACAAGTTTGAATTATGAGAAAATACAAAGAATTGACTAACAAGTCAATCTATCTCTCTGTTTTCTTCTTTTTTTTCGCTCTTTCATTCCCTTTTATTTTAGCTAGGCCACAGATCAATCATCACCAAGATCTAGTTTAAACCTTGAAGCTATAGAACTGATTGCGAACTTGTCCAATTATACGCATCAGATTCATGAAATTTCAGACAAAGGTTTTAGCCATTAAATTCATGTATATGTATTATACGACTATATAAAGTCATTGAACGATTAGATGCCTTACCATTCCAGCTATTGAATGATGTATATACTGATTACTAAAAATATATATACAAAGACCAGTGAGCCTTTCTTTCTTATCAAAAAATACCAGTGAGCCTTTCTTTCCTCAATTCTAGACATGTACCTAGCAGTCATGTTCCTGTAAAATTTCAGTTAATAAATCACTGAATTATACCCCAAACTCTTTGGCAAAGTTTTTTTTTTCCTTTTATTTGTTTGCATCAGAAAACTCTCATTTATTGATCAGTAAGCATCTGAAACCTAAATCAACCTGAGCACATCCAAGGTGTAAGAACGCCTGCTCCATTGAACAACATCAAGATGGAACAGCATTTAATTTAATAATAGCATCTGTTCTAACCACCTGCATTCCTTTTTCTTTAAAGGAAAAGCAGCTGTAGATTTGACACCACATATATAGCTTTTCAGATTATATATCTAATAAGAATTCAATCTTAAAATAAGTTTTTCCAGATGAAATTTATAATTTGCAACAACATATTATTTAATCAAAGCTAGAATATTGTAGGTCTGCAGTAGGGTTCTCACAATGAAGATACTAAATGCAGGATAAGTGGAGAACATAGTGAGATCAGACTAGGGTGAAATCGAGGTAGGCTTGAAATAAAGCCAATGGAGATGACAGTAATAAATGTAAAGCGAAACCAGGGAGAGAATCCTAAGGAGGCCACTACCTTTTCCTTGTGATTATCCCTATTTTTAGGAGTCCACATCTATTGGACGGTTGGTGATAGTTGGCAGGCATGTTGGGAAAACTTAACTAACTGAAGGAGAAATAGCCAAGAGGATATGCCAATAAAGCTAATGAAAGCACAAATAGCCGAGGTCGAGCATAAGCTGAGCACAACATGTGTCAAAGAAATAGTTTGGAGGAGCAGTGACATCTCTCTCTTTCTCTACCTCTCATATCAGCCAAGATGTAACTGCGGTTGGGAACACACCTCTACGAACCCTTAGTTAGAGCCACGAAACACCTATAATTCCTGTAGGGTCTATGATGCGATCCAAGAACCACATGATGATTACAGACGATTGTGATGCAACACCAACGCCACACCATGACTGTGCACTGAGCTCAAGGTATTATCTAGCCCTATTACTAACCAGGTGGGCGTAAGATATGTCAATGTATATGCATTTGGATGCAACTTGTGTATGGCCAAGGTAATATAGAGCAAGGTGTCAAGGTGAGATGATGAGAGCAGTGAAAAAGACGACCACCTTAGTGACAGTGATAAACTTGACTGAGGTAAAGAAGTATCTTATTTTTCCCTCAGGGTGAGGTCCATTGACCTCTCAACCCTCAAGGGACGACATGGCACACCTCCTTATGTACATAGAACAGGTGCCTCACTCTTATTGGATCACGTGCATAACGGATATGTATCCACGACTCCACATGGAGGCCATTGGGAGGAGATCATTGACATGGATAGAGTGGTTCCATGTACTGTCATCCAATATGCATATCAACTTGGTTATAGTGATATCTTCAAAACCAAAAAACATAGCACCACATCATGACACTAAATAATGACAGTACAATAACTGTAAATAAATCATTACCTTTGGTTCATGAGTTGATAAGGAGTCGGATTTTACTCACCAAAAAATAATAATAAGTCATCAAAATTCAGTGAGACCAGAAATGAAAAGACGAGGGATCATATGATACATAATTACACATTTACACATACAAATTCTCTATCAATGAAATCTCTATGGACAATACTTTAGTGTAACGTAAAAGCTTGTCCATCAAGCATGAAAATGCAGTTCAAGTTTGAGGTAACCCTTGTGGAAAAATAATGCCAAGGATCACCCTCCCCCAATGCCCGACACTAATGGAACCAACACAGTGTGTGTATAAATGAGATTTTTACTATTCTTCAAAAATTCTAAAAAAACTCTCCAATTATAGCACGTGTGAGTTTCGAAGCTAGTGATGAAACAGATCAGCAATCTACTGTGGATGATTAGCAAGTGAACTAAATCACGTTTCATAATACTCTGCCCTTCTCTGTTCTCCAAGGTGGATAAATGTACGTATATGTATGCATATGTATATTACATATCAGTTGAATTTTTCTGCCTTTTGCCTTCAACATGTTATGACAATTAGAGATGTCCATACAATTAGAACCAGGCACCATGAACTCAATTCCAAAACAATTAGTTAAAATTTCAGATATATTGAAACGCCCATAAGAAATTCTAACAAAATTTTCATGATAACTATCTCAAATTGCGTCCAACCACTCAGCAACAACTCAATCTATCCAAGAAAAATTATTTCAACAACCCATAAAAATCTTCATTCTATTTTTAACCCCACAAACAAAATTTCAAAAACGTACAGACCCAGTTAACTTTTTGGCAATTCCATAGGTACCCAATAAAATTCAAGCCCAAACCATCAGATGAAAATGAAGATGGAACAAAAATAAGGGTTACCCAGTAAGCCGATTTGCCAAGAGCAGCGAATGCAAAACGGTGATCGGGGTTGATGGCGAGCTTAGCATTGATGAAGAGGAGGATTGCCTGCTTGATGGAGTCCAATCTGGTGAAGGGTCGGCCAGCTGGGCCTGAAACTTTCATTTCAACGAGTGATTCAGCGTCCACATCGATACAGAGCATTATGTCTTCGTTGAAGAATCGAGATGCTTGCAGTGCGTAGCGACCTGGCGGTGCAGACCCCTTTCCCTCCATTCGCTCCATGTGACTCCCTCCCTCCCTCTCTCTGTCTCACAGTCGACAGAGCTCCCTTGTGACAGTTTTTTTTTTTTTTTTTTTCGTTCTTGTTTTTTTAAGTTTCTAAAGCATTTCAAAACTTTCTTGTTTGAAAAAAGGTATTAGTATATTGTTAAAAAACTAATAATAATAAATGTATTATTACTACGTAGTATAAAAGGGAAGTAGTTAAATTCTATTAAGGGGAATATACTGGAAGAAGAAAATGTTTTTCAATATTTTTTTTTTTTTCCAACTCCATTTCAGAAGAAAAGAAAAAATAATAATAAAATAAAATTGGAAGGCGAAAAAAACAAAAAAAAGACTTGGCTCCTTTGGTTAAATAGAAATTAAAAAAAAATAGAAAATGAAAGAAAAGTGAAGTGAACTAAAAGAAAAATTATTTTTTACGAAATATTTGGTTAACATGAAAATTTATTAAGGAAAATTATATGAAAATATTAGTTTGTTAGTTTGGATAGCATGAAAATGAAAAGAAAGTGATTATGCATACCAAAATTATCCTTATGATTTCAAATTCTAAAAAAATAAATAAATTTGTGTTTGATGAGGTTTATTTTATTCAAAGTTTTAATAAAATGATGAATTATTAAATTTTAAAAATATAATTATTTATATTGTTAAAATTAAAACAATACTTCAATACATCTTAGGTAGAGCCACAGAAACAGAATTATCTATTCATTTAAAATAAATAAGGAAGCTTAAAAATAAAAATAAAAAATTTGGACTCATGGACTTTCAACCAGAGAACACAAAAAGAGAAAAATATATATATTATTCTCTGTCTATATATAATAGAGGTGTATAATATATATGATACAGTGTATATCTTTGGAACCCAAAAAAAAAAAAAATTCGTCCAAATAATATTGCAAGAGAACATGTGTTAGTGAGAAGTTGTCTTCTAGAAGTCCACTAAAATATAAATTATTAAAAAACTTGCCTATAGTTGAAAAGAAACTCAGTTAGAAAATAAAAAAATTAATTGTTTTACATAATTCAGTTGTTGAATAAAATAGGAACTTCAAATAAAAAGAACCAGTTTTCACGAGAAAATATTATTTCCCCATGTTTTGTGTGAGAAAAGTTTTGGGAGAAAGTAGCCTAATATGGAAAACTAAATTTTCTATTTCCATTTATCCAAACTCTAAAAAAATTTTAAAAATTTTCTCTTCCTTTCTTTTCTAGTTGATTCCATCTAACTAAACAAAGCATCGCAGAATTTCATTATAATGACAGTTCCATTGGCTTTATCAACTAAAATAAGACTTCGTTTGCATAAGTAACATGGAGTATGAGAGAAGAAAAAAATAATATTAACTTCGGTTATGAGATAGTAGAACATAAATGATACTTTCTCTATATATATATATATATATATTAATACATTAAAAATTCCCTCAAGGGTAATAGCACAAAAGATTGACACATTTTTGCTATTTCAAGTTATTGTTCATCAAATAACACAAATACAATAAATCAACTCGTCATTACACAATGAAATAAAATAATAAATCCATTACCGAATAACTTTGAATAATAACATTAATAATACTTTGCAATTCCTTCTATAAAATGAATACAACAATATAAACAACATGTATAAAAATAATGGTAATAAAATAAGTAAGAAAGTGCTAGTTGTTGAGGCATCCGTAAGCATATTGACCTAAAGTCCTCCCTTTTGTGCGGGTATTGATGAAATTAGTCAACTCCGAGATACAATCCAATCAACTCGGACATCTCCTCCATGTGAACGACTATAGAAAGACTAGATTCAAATCTATATATGTCCAGTTACTTATAAACTCAATATGTAAAAAAATATTCTCAAAGAATTAAAGATAGATGTTTGATATTTTACTAACGGGCTGACAACCTTATAGAACAAAGTACTGTTGAAAACGGGGGCATTAAAAATATAAACTTTGAATGAGATTTGGAATAGACTCCGCTAATAATTTTGTACGAATCTCTAGACGAGCGCATTTCTCTCCGTAAGGAGATGAACTTGGTATATTTACTTTCTCAAATCCGTTTCCAGGTGAATAAGAAATTAGCTCCAAAGTGTGGTGTTTTGATAAGCTTAAATGGGTATGCAAAATGTGGGAAGTGTTTATCCCATATGAAAAAAAAAATGTTGAAACAAATTGAAATTTAAATAAGCTGAGTTTAGGATTTGGGTTTGGGCCTAATTGTAAAGTCCAGATTATTCTTTTTTGGAGTTTTTGATTGGGCCTAATTTTAGGCTGGGCTTATTTAAATGGGTTTCACAAATGAGTGGGTTTTTTGGGTGGTTGGTTTTTTGAAATAAAAAAAAAAAATTACTTTTTAGTTTTTCTAAAAGGTTACACCTTTTAAATTAAAAAACCATATTTTAGTTTTTCTAAAGGGTTACACCTTTTAAATTAAAAAACCACTTTTTAGTTTTTTCCAAAGGGTTACACCTTTTTTCCGAACCATCATAACCCATGGTTGCACCCACTCGAAAAGGCACATTGCAATCTATTGGAATGGATTTGTCTAGTGGTGAACAGACACCATGTGAACCATTACAATAGTTGTATCCAATAATGAAGAGATACACCTAATCCGAAAAGGCATTTCTGTTTCTATAAATACCCCCTTTTGGATCATTTGCAAGTTGTTCATTTTCATTTTCTTCTATCTCCCTCTCTAGACTTTAACCCAACCCAAGTGGGTTCAAACCATAGGTTAAGTGGTCCGAACCACTTAGACCCTAATCCAATTTCATCGAGCCATATTAAGATTGGTCCGAACCATTTGATTCGAATTGCACCCAATTCAGCATTTATATAGCATAGATGCATTTTTGAGTCAGAGAGAGTATTACACGGAGAAGGTTCGCCGTATCCACGAGTTTGTAGTGCTGCTATTGGTGGATGTAGACCGTTGTATCCTGGGAGATAGACGCCACTAAGTCCGTTAGCACCATAGCGGGGCGAATCTGTCTTAAGGACATAATATCCAATACTAGCCTCGGTCCAGGTTCTTTATTTATAATTATTATTTCATTAATTTATTTTGCATATTTAATTAAATATAGAGTTACATATTTAATTAATAATTTTTTAGCATATTGTTAATTATCTCATGACATATTAGTATAAGGTTTGTTATATCTTAAATGTCACATGAAGCATATATTTTACCATTAAGTACAACGCTACAAAATTACCATACACATAAGAGATATATATAGAGAGTAAATAATGTCGGAGGTAATGTAATAATAGATATAATGATTGAAATAGTATACCCCATAAATTTTGTTTAAATCATATAATAATAATCATCGTTATAAATATAATAAATAATTATATTAAATACTATTTATATTTTTATTAAAATATCCATTACAGTTACGGAGTATTACGTACTTATTAGAATATATGAAACTCAATTCAATATAATACATTCATTTCATATATTCTAGCACCAGTGATGCTCTCTAATGGCCACTCAAGATGTAAGAGACGAATTTGTAGACAAAATTAATAAAATTGCCTTAGGAATAAGACGGATTTTATTTTATTTTATTATTTGTGTGTGTGTGTGTTTAATTTTGAAATTTTCATTAGAAGAATTATCATTTCACTCCCAAACCTCTCACCTTTGGAAAAACAGTAAAAACACTTTTAACCAAACTTTTTTAAATAATGCTATCCCTCCATTTATTCTCTCCACATCTTTAGTTTTCATTTCTTTTCCTTCAACATTTTTTTTAACCAAACTTGAATAATGCTATCCCTCCATTTATTTTTTATATTATTCCCTTCCAATTCTCTCAATCCAAATGGAACTCAACTATTTGTTCTCCATTAGGTTTATTGTTATGCTTGTGCATAAATATTGAATTTTCTTGTTAAGCTTAAACTCAACTTATTCATACATCTTAAACGCAAATTCAATTTTCTTTCTCGTTTTTAGGTCACGATAAATCTGATATTTGAATTTGACAAAAATTAATTGAAGCTCAAGAGAGTGACATGTTCACAAGTTTTAATGAGTGCCTTTACAAACACATTTTGAACCATATTGAGCTAATAAATCAACCATTCACCCTTCAAAACATCTCTAGTTGGGTAACTCAAACGGGCCAGATTGGTTGAATGGTTAATCTGAGCCCACTCCAAAACATTTTTCTAATCTCAGGCTAATCAATTTAGAAGCAATTTAGGTTAAGTTGGTCATTCACTCCATTGTCTATCTTCAGGGAAATATGGAAAAATTTGACTATTTAATGGGTCAACCCGAGTTCAAAGCAGACGACGCAAAACTCTCAACCCAAATTATTTAATGGAAAACTCTCAATCAAACTTGAGATCCAAACTTCACTTTCAACCTATCAAGTCCAAACCTAACTTTTCTTAATTATTTCTGGTAACATTTTTACTTCAACGCAATTACAATTCAGAATTAGTTGAGTCTTGGACTCAATTTGAATTGGTCCACTCAAGTCGGATCTTTTACCGACTACAATTCTCATTGGCTTAATAGCATCCCAAATGCACACTCTACACTTGGCTCAACACTTAAAAAAAAAAAAGAAAAAATGTAGAGCCAAGTCAACCATTGTGCTAACGTGACTTTACACTTATTTTGGAGATTCTAAATTGTTGTTATGCACAATTTTTAGCATTTTATACTTTATTATTATATTATTTTTAAAATTTTATTTATTAAATTATAAATATTTTCTTTTTCAATTGTTTGTTTGTTTGTTTTTTACAACTATTGTCAACAACTATATTGATAATAATCATAATTTTTTACTTCGATTGTATGTTCGTTCAACTGCACATTAAATACACACAAAGAGGTGTATCTCATTTCATTCTTAAATGGCAATAAAAAATTTAAGTATATATACTCATAATAGTCTTTATATGATTTTTAATGAGATCATAATTGGACAGATCCTCAGAAATGATTTAAATAGAATGATTGGAAAACAAACGAGGGCAAACTAGAAATTAATTTGATAAAACAGAGTAACAAATACCAATGGGATGAGTGTGTACTATGCGTTATTTATCATGAAAAATAAATAACAAAAATAAAAGTAATTTGAATAAGAGCACCAGGTGGCATAGCAGCAGGGGCATTTTTGGCAATACGAAGTGAAAGCACCCCCTCTGCTCAGTTGCCAAGCCAGGTCGCTCTTCTCTTTCCTCTCTATTCCTTTGGTTGCTGGGTGATCAGAGAGAGAGAGAGAAATGGCTTGCTTACACGATCACAGTTGCGAAGAACACGATTGTTCGTCTAATTGGTCTCTATACAAGCATATAGACCTCTCTAAGGTAATACATCTCTGTATATCTTATATTTATAACCTATTTTCTTCATTTTCGTGTCATATGTTTTGTATACATATCATATCTATAGATTTACAAGAACGTTAGCTTAGCAGCTTTGTTACCGTGGAATCACGTTGTTGAGTAGCCAGTTTTTGATTTAATTCTGCGTTGGACGAAACAGCTTTCGTTAAACCCTAGATGGTCCAATTCAGACCACATTATGGTCAGACATTAACGTTTCAGATGTTACCATACCCTTTTTGTTGGTATCAAATATCAATGACTCATGTTAATGTGCAATCATTTCTTCTTTTTGGTTATATTAATGTTGCGTTTGTGCTTTTGGGAGCATGGTGCTATAGATTTGGAACTAGAAAAAAATTAGTTCAAAGTTTGAATTAAATTTCATCCAATTCCAATTCTAAGACACTGAATCAGTGCTTCCAATCATAACAAAACTGTATTTAAATAGTATCTATAAATCTTAATCTTCAAATTTTTTTTCCTGAAATGAAACATAATTTTCAATATTCATATCCTATAAAGCTTAAAAATCAACATGTATAATGTGCCGATACATATACATATATATATATATATGTATGTATGTCTGTATATACTAGTATGTAATTTATATAATATTGGCGAGTGTGTCAAGATATATCTATTAGTGATGACAACCCATTAAACCGTGAATGTTAAATCCTCAATTACTGAATCTTTTTCTTTTACTGTAATTATGCTTTAATGGTACATAGATGGATTTTGGGAAGAATGACCCATGAACCATAAGTTTTAATTGTCATTCATTACTAGATCAAACATTATTGTTTATGCTGTGCTAAGATATTCAGTAGTGAGAGTTATCCTTTAACGTAAATTATTAAAATGTTTGAACCCTCATTGCTTTATTTTTGTATGCTATTATATTTATGATGCTACCCAAGTTGCTTAATTACAACTAAAATGTTTGGAGTGATATGCTTATTTTCTTGATTAATAAATTACAATCATGATTCTCACCTGAGATTTATCACAATTACACCGATTTTGCTTCTTGTTTGAAAAATTATATTGACTTTCAAATGTCAGATATAGTTCTTTAACAGTTTCCCTCTTTCGCTAAAGGTCAGCCACAATTTTTGCTAATGTAAGTACTTTTAAATTTTAAAACACCAAATTTGCTCCTATAAATTTATTTTGTTCAATTATACTTAGAGAAATTTATTTTATTCAATTAAATTGTACATCCAGATTTCATGGGCAAAATAATAAAATTTCCAACGGAGTTGAACCAAAGTGCATGACAAGGGAGGTCAGTGAAAATTTTCACACGAGGGAAGTTCGAGTAATTATGGAAAACCTTAGGGGAGGTCTGTCTAATTTTACCTTTTTCTTGATTTATAACCTTCCATATATTGCATATATTTGTCATGTGCAATATCGTACTTTAACCATGTTTTAGGGACCTTAGATAGGAAGTGAACAAAACAAACAAAAAGGAAAAAAATAAACAAATAAAATCCCTAATGCCTAAGGCACCAGGAAGCTCATCATCATTGTTGCCTTAATCCTACATGAATTATCTTTTTGTTTTCCTTGTCTATTACGAGTCATTTCACCTATTATATATAACTTCATAAAATAATTTCTGATGACTTCATCACACATTAATTTTGGCCGCCTTCTTTGTCTTTTAGCGTCTATGCAAACTAGTCCTTCTCTTCTTATGAGTGCATTTTAAGGTATTTGTCTTACATATATCCCACCTAAGCCTACTTTCTCTTATTTTATCACCAATAGGCACTACTACTAATTTTTTTCTCACACTTCCATTAGTAGCCCTATCTTTTCTACTTACCATCCATATTAACATCCTCATTTTCTCCTACATGAATATGTTGTTCTTATTTCTTTTGTAAAGTCCACCAAGAAGCTCATGATGAGATAAGAATCCCTAGAAACTCTTGCTACATGATTAAATTGGGCAAATGACTATGGTGGAGAAAGTCCACCATGGAGCTAGCCAATTTCGAAACCCAATCTACAGATTATACTCCTTGAGCATATATGAATAATTCAAAGTTTTTTCCCCTCTTTGACATCTTCACGGTTGTCACTGTTCAGTGTATGATCAAAATCATTATTTGTTGACATGCACATATATTTATGTAATCCTGTCCTTTTAGGTGAGCGCTTCATGACAATTCCCGCTATTGTCCCTCCAATCGGATTGATTAAGTGGTTGCTGGAGTTCAGCTGATATCACTTTATGAAACTTGAATGACAAATTTGACTGCCTTCTATTTTATGAAGAATTGCGTTGTTTTTACTTGTAAGAGAAAGCTTTTACTGTTGTTTTCCAGTATGGTTACGGATATTTTGACCTTTTGAGTAAATTGGTTATAAAGGTTATGAAGCGCTTCAACTATCATGTTTTAGATTTTGACAGCAAGTGATTTCATCAATATTCTATAGAATCATTGTTTTTTGTGGATACATAATATGAGTCAATTTGTTGAGAGAATGCTCTATATTCTGAGTTTACGTGTTTCTTATATCGTAGTAGATGTTGCCTTTATAATTTGTGCATAAATCTTATGATGAAATTACATTTTGAGTGAAGTGAAGCTTGTGCTTGGTTACAAGATGTATACTCTTGTAATATAAACTACACTTGTGTGAGTTGATTTACTTCCTTGACAAGTTGAAAGTTTTATATTCTTTTTTAGTCTTCACACACGCATATGAAATGCATATATGACAATATATTACTTTTTCTCTGTACGCATGTGTGTCTCTATGTGGCCTTTGGGTTGGAGGTGTTAGGTTTGAACAACTGCTCAGTGTGTGTGTTTGCATTCTTGAACTTCAATTTGTCTCCTACAAGTGACATACATTACCAGAGTTCTTACTCACTGATTGACTGGGTGTTGCTTATTTTTTAATGTTCTTTTACTATATTTCTATTAGGTTGTGCCTATTCTCCTTTTGAGTTTATGACAATAGATGATTTTTGTTTTTATGTTCCGAAGGTATCCGCTCTAAATGAGGCTGTTTCAGGAAGTGTTAAGTCAGTTTTTAAAGCTTGGGAGCAGCGTCTGAATTCTTCAGAGGTAAGTTTAGTTAAGAAACTCAATCTGATCTACTGTCTGTAAGGTGGCTGATCTCTGATTCACTTGATGTTGTCCTCAAAGTTTTAAGTTTTCATGTGTATTAAAAATCTGTTTAATCATGTTCTTTTAGTCCTTTACTTCAATTTTTGGATACATATGTGGCCAATTAGACATTCATTATTAACATATTGTTTATTACAATTTTCTACTAGTGATTTGATTTTGTTGACATTAATACCAACAAAAGTAACTTGGTAAAATTGGCGTCCTCAATTTGAGAGACTGACTATCATTATAAACAAGCGGAAAATTACAAATATGGAAAAGAGAATAAAATCAAATCAAAATAAAGAGAATAAATTCAAATCAAATCAAATCAGAATAAAAATAAAATTCCTAAAAATTAGCCTATATTGAAGACCCAATAAATCTGTCATAATCGTTGAGTCAACTTATAGATAAGATTTCCAACACTCCCCCTCAAGCTGGAGCAAATATGTTGACTAAGCCCAGCTTGACGATGGAAGACTGGAGAAGAAAAGGCCCAACAGACTTTGTGAACACAACTGCAGTCTGTTCTGAAGAAGGAACAAAAATAGGATTAATGATACCCGATCGAACCTTCTCTCGAATAAAGTGAATGTCTACCTCAATATGTTTCGACCTTTCATGTAAAACAGAATCAGAAGCAAGCATAATGGCTGATTTATTGTCACAAAACAGCCTTGAAGAACCTTTCCGTACAAGACCCAACTCTCCCAAAATTGATTGAAGCCAAAGGAGCTCACAAGTACCTTGAGCCATAGATCGGTATTCAGCTTCAGCAGAGGATCTAGAAATAACAGCCTGCTTCTTACTGTTCCATGATACGAGATGATTACCATAGAAAGTACAGAAGCCAGAGGTTGAACGTCTATCTGTCTTACATCCAGCATAGTTTGCATCAGTAAAGCATGAGAGTCCAGACTGATTTCTTGAGGCATAGAACAGACCAAGACCCGGGCACGACTTAAGGTACCTTAAAATATGGTAGACTGCATCCATATGAGCTGAGCGAGGGGCATGCATGAATTGACTAATCACACTGACAGCAAATGTCAAATCGGGCCTTGTGTTAGTCAAGTAGATAAGACGACCTACTAAACGTTGATACACGGATGGATCTGGAAGTAATTCCCCTGACTCAACAGAGAGTTTAAGATTGGGGTCCATAGGAGTGGAAGCGGGTCGACACCCAAGCATGCCAGTATCTTGAAGAAGATCCAAAACATATTTTCTTTGAGATAAAGAAATTCCACGATGGGATCTAGCAACCTCAATTCCAAGAAAATATCGAAGAGGACCTAAGTCCTTCACATCAAAGGACTTTTGAAGATGAAGTTTCGCCTGAGCAATCCCTGAAACATCATCACCTGTGATAATGATATCATCCACATATACCAATAACATAATGCAACGACCATCAGAGCGACGTCGAATAAAATAAGTATGGTCTGAGTGGCAGCGCACAAAGCCCATGGATAAAACAACATTGCTGAAACGACTAAACCAAGCTCTAGGAGATTGCTTTAGACCATAAAGAGACTTCCGTAGCCTACAGACTTTCCCAGCATACTCCCCCTCAGCCCGAAATCCAGGGGGTGGATCCATATATATAGTCTCAAGTAAGTATCCATTAAGAAATGCATTCTTGACATCTAACTGATGCAGAGGCCAAGAATGGGCAGCAGACAAGGAGACAAGCAGTCGCACAGACGTCAACTTAGCCACAGGAGCAAAGGTAGCACTAAAGTCTTTGCCCGGAATCTGAGTAAAGCCTTTTGCCACCAACCGAGCCTTATACCGATCAATAGAACCATCGGCTAAGTACTTCACATTAAAGACCCACTTGCAGCCAACCGTTTTCTCCCCAGAAGGTAAAGCAACAAGTTCCCATGTATTATTATGGTATAAAGCATCCATTTCTGTTGTCATGGCAGACACCCAATTGGGATCCTGGAGGGCTTCTGACACAAATCGAGGAATATAAACGGTCCCAATCTTGCCCAGGAAGGATTTATATGCACCTGAAAGACCATCATAGGAGACATACTGAGAAATAGGGTGGTTAGTGCTACTAGAAAAACCATACCAATTAGGAGGATGACGATCACGGGTAGGATAACGGGAGGTACGATCAGGAATTGTAGGAGCAATAGGAGAAGGAGAGTTACCTGAACCTGGTTCGGAAGATGATTCTGGCAGGGGAGGTTGAGTGCGACGGCGACGAAAGTAGACTTGCAAAGGTGGAGGGGAACCCTGCATGGATGGAAAAGGAGATTCTAGGACAATGTGATTTTCAAAGAGAGGAACAGGACGGGCAATAGGAGAAATCTCCTTCTCCAGATCACAAGAGAGAGAATCCTGTACCACAGAATTAGTACTATAAAAAGGAACAGTTTCATGAAATGTCACATCAAGAGAATGATACATATGTTTGGTCACAGGATCATAACAACGATAGCCCTTTGACATAGCAGAATACCCCAAGAAAATACACCTAATAGATTTATCATCAAGTTTATGACGAGAAGGACTACGGTTATGAACAAAACAAGTACAGCCAAAAACACGAGGCAGAAGGTGAAACAATGTATAATCAGGCTGGAGAATCTGAAGTGGTGCCTTACCACCCAAAACTCGACTGGGAGTACGATTAATCAGAAAAGCAGCTGTAAGAACAGCCATGTGCCAATAGAATTTAGGCACATGCATACCACTCAGAAGACATCGGACCACAGACATAAGATGACGGTTTTTGCGTTCAGCCACGCCATTTTGCTCAGGAGTATAGGGGCAAGTGAATTGATGTAAAATCCCCTTTTTATTAAGTTCAGACCGGAACTCATTCGAAACATATTCTCGTCCATTATCAAAACGAATATTACGGACAATAGTGTTATACTGGGTTTTGATCATTTGAAGAAACTGGGTAAATAAAAGAAACACATCAGATTTCTGTTTCAATAAATAAACTCAAGTACAACGAGAATAATCATCAATAAATGTCACATAATATCGATGTCCAGAGAAAGCAGTAACTGGGGAAGGGCCCCAGATATCAGAATGAATAAGATCAAACATACTAGGAGCACGACTCATATGAGAAATATAGCTAGTTCTAGTATGTTTAGAAAGCTCACAAACTTCACATTGAAACTATGGTCCTTACATGTTTTATTTAACGAAGGAAACAATAGACATAGATATTGAAAGTTAACATGCCCCAAACGTGCATGCCACAGACTAAAAGTGCGAAAAGAAACATCATAAACACTAGAAGTAGGTAGGACAGAAGCTTGAAGACTCGTTCCTGGTGGTTCCCCAAAGTAGTAAAGCCCATCACACTCATAACCCCTGCCAAAAATCCTCTTCGAACAAAGGTCCTGCAACAAACAGTGATCTGGTAAGAATATAACTGCACATTGGAGGTTTTTTGCAAGCCGGCTAATAGATAAAAGGTTAAAGGCCAATTTAGGTACATGAAGGACAGATGAAAGAGTAATATCAGGAGACAGACAAACATCACTCTTACTGTGAATGTAAGATGTAGAGCCATCCGCAAGATACACAGATTGGGTAACAGGTATGACATTAGAAGAAAAAACTGATAACTCACCAGTTATGTGATCATTGGCCCCAGAATCCAGAACCCAAGTGGGCTGCTTGGCTTTAACATGAAATGCAGTAGGAGTACCTGTAGCAATAGTTGCAGTGGGAGCAGTTAAAGGAGCACTAACTCTAGAAGCAAGGGAGCCAAGCTGGTCTTGGATATGCCCAATCTGAGACTGCAGCTGACTCAGTCCAGGAAATACAGTAGATCCGCCAGTAGTAACAGGAGTTTCTGTAACAGCCGCAGTACGAGAAGAACCAGTTCCAGATAAACGGTTCCTAGAAAATTTTTGCTTCAGTTCAGGATGAAGTTTGAAGCAACAAGCCTTAACATGTCCAACCCCTCCACAATGGTGACAAATAATCTAACCTCCAGAAGCTCGTGATCCAAAGTTGGCTGCAAAAGCCATACTATCCCCAGCAGGCTCAGACATTGGTACAGGAACAATTGAGGGCTGAATTAAACGGTGCCTGCATGCTTCACCATCAAAAGTTGCAAAGGCTTCCAACAGGGATGGCATTGGTGATGCATTCAAGATCTGAGACTTTAGTGGTTCAAATTCTGGGCGTAATCCCATCAAAAACTGATAGGTATGCTGACGATCAAGACGTTTGACAAGAGGAGAGGCTGCCTCAGAAGGAAATTCACTGAGAGGCTCATATTGAGCTAGTTCCTCCCAACGAAATCTCAAATACCCAAAATAATCAGTTACAGACAAATTCAGGCCTTCCTGTGAGGCCTTAACAATATCTTGATATAATTCAAAAATACGAGCATCATTCCTAGAATGAGCATACATTTGATTCAAAGCAGTCCACAAGTCATTAACAGAGTCATAAAACATGAATATATTATAAATGCGTTCCTCCATAGAATTAAACATCCATCCTAAAATGGTGCAATTGTCCATATCCCATTGAGCATATTTAAGATCTTTAATATCTGGCCTATTTTCAGTACCCAAAATCCACCCTGATTTGCCTTTTCCACCAACATAGAGGCGGAGGGAACGAGCCCAGGATGCAAAATTACGGCCATTCAACAGCACACTAGTAACTCGTTGAGCCGGTGTGTGTTGTGCCGAAAAGAGAGTTTCTTTATTATTACTTGATTGAGCCATAATATTAAATAGATCAATTCAACGGATTACCAATAATTTCAAATAAAGGTGGAATAGACCTGATTTTGATCAAACCAAGAAGCCGGAGACACGGCGGTCTGATTCGAAAATGCTGCCGAATATCCCGGCAGCCCCAAAAAATTACAAACACGTCTTCTGACCCTTGGTGCATGAAAAAGACTAAGGGAATACCCCTACAGGGGTCGAACCTAGAGGAGATTGACTCCCCCTAGGACTGTCGCAACAGCGACCTGAAAAAGAGAGAAGGTCTGTGAAAAAAAAAAAATAGGGAAGGGGCTGTAACGAGATAGAGAGAAATATTAAAGAGAATAAAATACAAATATGGAAAAGAGAATAAAATCAAATCAAAATAAAGAGAATAAAATCAAATTAGAATAAAAATAAAATCCCTAAAAATTAGAAATTAGCCTATATTGAAGACCCAATAAATCTGCCATAATCGTTGAGTCAACTTATAGATAAGATTTCCAACACCAACTTTATGTGCATGTCTCAACGTATATACAAATCTTCATTTATTCTTAGTTATATGCACTTCTTGTCATTTGATGTGGTGGTTAAGTTTCTGAGTTCTCTTCCACCTTTTCATTTTCTCTATGTAAATTATTGCAGTCACATGAAAGTCTTGCACGTACCAACATATTTTTTACACCTTAAGCATAAAAGTATATTATTTTATTGTTGACTTGAACCAAGTTCATGGTACAATAGTTTATAATGGCCAGTAGAGGCAGCTTTCCATCTCTTGGTGATTATAGGATCTTTTTTACACGATTTGCTTGGACACCAGCATTGAGGCGATTCCTTATGAAATCTGTGAGGACGCACCCTGTTGTCTAGTTTCCAGAAGGAGAAAAAAAAAAAGGGTTAAATAAATAGAGTATTTTTCTTATAAAGATGTCCTATTATAATCTCTTAAAATGAAAATATCATTGCATTCCAAATGCTAAAGGTCTTCTATTCCCTTATATGCGAAATGTCCCAGCCGCCTTTCTAAAGGGTAGCAATGGTTTTTGGTTTTTATAGTGAGAATGCTAGTAAAATGAATAAATAAGTGTTTCCCTAACCACATCTAACCATTTATTTATTTTTCAGAAAGTATCTAATCAGTTCTTCAGTTAAAAAGGATGATCTGTAAAACATTACTGATTTTTTTTGCAAGTAACATTATTCAACTATTTACATGGTTTTTGGTGTTTATCACTAAACATGAGGTTTGAATTCTCCCCGGCAGTCAATATTTGGTTTAATTATTTTTTTCTTTTCAAATTTATATTTTTTGGTTGCAAGTGTATTATTGGTGGGAACTTGAAAAGCTTGTATTACCAAAATTTGTAAGTGGTACAATGTAATTCATAGTTTATTTTTTTAGTGTTTTCTTGGTGGAGAAGTGGAAACTCTAAAAGCTTGAATTACCACAGTTTTAAGTGGTACAATGAGATCCTTGCAAATCATTTTTTGCTAATTTAACAGAATTTTGGAAAAAGTGATTATGTAAAGGTTTTGGAACTAAGTTTAGTATTTGACTGCATAAAGTGAGAGTCATTCACAAAAATTACTTAAGAGTGTTAATTGATTGGGCTACTGTTCTATTAGGCACTTGAAATTAATACATTGGAGGCACTTATCAAAAAAAAAAAAATTAATACATTGGAGGTGTAAGAACTCAGCAGTAGAAATTGAGATTGTTGCATAATCTACAGGCCATAATTTTCATTGAACAACTTCTTTTTGTTCATGTGAATGATTGCTGCTTTTGGCTTTGAATAATGGAAGTTGTGGAATCTTTTTCGATGGGTCAACAGTTGATTACTGGACTTTGTTACAAGAATGATGCTGTAGGACTCATGTTCTCGATGACTTACAAATGGTTATATATAGGCATATATATTGGTTATATATATATATATATATATATATATATATATATATATATATATATATATATAGATATATTTTCTCTCTCTGGAATTCCATTTTGCTTTTAGTAACTTGAGATTTTAAGTTATTTATTTGACTCTTGTTATCAGTTAACTTGGTTTTCAGATCTTCAATAGCAAAGATTATTTTGTGAAAAGTTTACCACCTTATAATCTTAGACGTACTTTTCTCAGACAAATGGGGTTAATATCATCTGTTCAAAGCTGAGACCGGAACCAAATGTAGATCTAGTATAAGTGTTAGTCCCGATGTTACTTTATTAATGATGAGCAATTTAACTGGAGCCTTTGTTTTTTTTCCCCCTTTTAAATATAATTAATTTGTAGATGAACCAATGCTATTAATAAGGCATTTAGTGTGGGATATGTGTTTGACACTCTTTCAAATGATTTTTTTTTCCAATAAATGAATTGTTAGGAAACCACAAGCTTCGTTACTCATAATTTGGCTACGTCGTGCGTGTCACCTCAATGAGAATATCCATATTAATAATAATTCAAAGCTATGTCTATCAAGAATGAAGTCTTGAGTAGAAAGACGGCAATGTAAAGTATAAAACCCTTAATAGATCTGCCTTATTAATGAGTGTTAGGGAAGCATGTGATGCTCCCAAACAACAAAACAGAGTCGCTCATGAAGTGAGCAAATGGGCTTCTCAGTCTAGGACATCAAATTTGGAGTGGATTGAAATTTCACGTTTCTGTTGGGGAAGCATGCGGTGTGATGCTTGCCCTGTTGTGTAGTTTCTCTTCATGTTCGCTTTGTAATATATATATAACACAAGCATAATGCTGGGAATATTCAACTCAATTTCAGCAGCAACAATCCAAAATATCTCAATATTCAAGTTAGCTTAAGTTTTATAATTGTTATTTTAATTTCCTAATAATGATAACTGCTTCACATGTAATGCACTTCAATTTTGACTACTACGTCTGTGTATCCACATACAATACACATCATTTTAGCTAGTGTATGTGTGTGTGTTTGTGTGGGAGGTGTCCGAAGTTCGCGATGGCTACCCGAAGTTTAGCCTTATATATCAATTTCATTCTTCTTTTTTGGGTAATATTGTTATTGTAGGTTGTCTAAAATGTGATCTTTCTCTCTTTTTATTTTTTTTTCCCTAATAGGGTCACTTGGAAAGCAATGACGGTGATCCAGAGTTAATTGTTTTCATCCCGTAAGTAGCCAATCTGTTTTTAAATACCAGCTACTTCTTCAGCATAAAAAAATATGCTGGCTTGAAGTTTGTTTGGCCAGCTTACCTGTTGCTTATATGGGTTTGCTTACGCCTTTCTGCATTATGATCATTTTACTTTGGGATCCATCAGTTGTGCTATATGCGAATTCTTTTGTAATCCCAAGATGCTTGTTCAGCAGGATATCTGCCGGCTGTTATTTCAAGATTGATATATCATAAATCTGTTTTATATATCGATTTTCTGTTCATTAATCATCTAGTCATAATTTTCTTTTCTTTACCCTGAATTCCTTAGTTTTCTCCTTTAGTTTTAGAGCTTATATCCTAATCTTAAAAAATAAAGGTTTTTGAATTTTAAATCCTTTACCTTCTGAGTTGTCAATCCTTTCTGTTGGACTAAATTATTTCATCAGTCAGTGATGACATTTTCAGCAAACTGGTCAAAAAATCGGAATCTGGTGCAGTTGTCCGGGGTTGGCGTAGAGCTGAAATAAAAACTTTAAACCTTGATCTATAATGCATGCTAATGATGTCAAAGTCAGACCATATATGTACCTGCCTCTCAGTTGCTAGTGTCCGTTTTATATGGTGGAATCAATTATGGGAAGTGTAGTTCAGCTATGTTCCTTTGAGATGAGAGGTAACCCAGCATTCCTTTTTGACATATGCTTCTATGGCTACCTGCTCTACCTGATTACTCTTTTTATACCACTAGATGCACGAGGGTAAAGAACAGCTGGCCTTTACTTGATCAAATTTAGGTCGTCAGATTTTATGCTAATAAAAATAATAGATTTAAAAGTAAATATTTTATCTTTGTATATATTGCAATTGCACTTGATATTTATTCTTCTCAATCAATAGAGATCATCTTATTTTCACTACTTAACATGAAAATTTAAAAAGATTAAGAGAGTCAAAATATGGTTTATCCAAATATTTATGCTTGAGGAATATTTTTGGCTCAAACTCTTTCTGCTACCAATTTTTTTGTCTTCCCGTGAAGATCTTTTCATTATCTTTCTTTTTTGTGTTATTATTATTATTATTATTATTATTATCATATATTTATTTATTTTTGACTTAACGGTTAACACTCTTTGTTGGACTTGAATATGACAGATTTACATCAGATGTTAAGATCAAGAGCATTTCAGTGGTTGGTGGTGCTGATGGAACAAGTCCTTCCAAGATGAGAGCGTAAGTTGAACTCTGTTGATACTTGCCAATGGTGTGATGTTAATAATTAATATGCTGCAAGCTTGATAATATATGTGTTTGTGTGTGTATATATATATATGCTGCAAGGCATAATACCAAGCAAACAGTTCTTTGCTTCTACAGTGTAAAAGGATCTTGTGTTCTTAGTCGCATGATGAACAGTATCTACTATAATATGACACAAGCCAGCTTTAACCTTCTTAGCACTCCATTCAACATGCATTTTGTAACTAGCTTATGCATGTTTTAAGTAAGAATGTTTTGTCAAATGTAGGTTTATCAATCGAGATGGTATTGACTTTTCAGATGCTCAAAACATGCAAGCTATTCAGGTATTGCCTCATCTAAGAGTCAGGGATTTTAGTTTCACTACTATCGTATTACATTGATTATTTGTTTTTTGTCTTAAGGAGTGGGAATTGGCGGAAAATTTGCAAGGAGTTTTAGAATACCAGACAAGGTAATTGTTCTGACTTCAAAGCTGGCATACCACATAGCCTTTTATTGATTATAACATCTGTTTGATTTATTCCCATTTTTATATATGAGATGAAAGTTTAATTACAGTTCTTGCTTGCCAAGGACCAACGGTTACTTGTTACCCCTGGAAATGCGATGTTCCTTCATGTTAATAATTAAATATAGAAAACATTCAGTCTAATTGAATTTGTCATTTTTCATGTCTTAACCTTTTTAACTGTTTAATATAAAATGTCGACACAGTGACACACTTATGAGTTGTTCTTAATTGCTATTTTTGTTTGTTATATTGACTTTCTGATTTTGTATTGATATGTTAATTCAGATATTCTAGATTTCAAAGCGTGGGAAGTCTTACTTTGCATTTCCCTGAAAATTTTGGGGGTGAAACAACTCAAATAAATTACATTGGGTTAAAGGGTGAAGCCACTCAGGTAATTAACACGAGTTCACATCTGATGGATTAAATGTGTGCTTGAAATGATATATTTTCTTTTCTGTGAATTAAACAGTTGAAGAGGGATGTTGTTGCCACAATTGTTTATGAACTTACGCCCAATCCTTCTGACCACAAGTAAGTATTTTTCGCTTATAAAATTTTGGGTTGCTCATTAATGTATCTAACAATCTCTCAAATGACAAAAGTTATTTGAGCTCTTACGTGTCATAAGCTTGCTCGATATAAGCCGGTATCTAAATAGAGAGATGGTTTGCCGAGTAGACTGCTGCTAGTTAACTAAATGCATGTTTTTTATTTTTAATTTTTATGGCTCCTGTGCATAACTTATGTTTTTTCTTGAGACTGTTGGCAAACCTCTTCCCGTTATGTTAACATATTGTTTCCCTTTCATCTCTTGGTGGGTAGATTTAAATATCGGAGAAACTCAGCAAGGCATATACTGCCAGACATTGTTTTCTTGGTTATAAAATTATGTCCATTAGGTGGAATACTTTTTTTTTTGCCCAGTGTATATGAGATTTATCAGTAATGCAGAATACGAAAAATCTCTTCAAGCTTTATTCTTTCTGTTGATAAATGTGGGGTTTATATGCAGGACACGGGCCGACGCTGGAGGAGGTCTTTCACATGTTGAATGAAGAGCATCAGTGGTAGGCTGCTTCTCGCAAAGGAGAGGATATCTCCTTTTTATACATCTGGCTATGAAATATAAACACAAATCCTTTCAATAGTTGTAACAGCCTTTTCTTTGGTAGTGGATTTCTCCTTTGTATGCATCTGGTTATGGAATATATCAAACACAAACCCTTTCAACAGCTGTAACAGCCTTTTCTTCTGGAACTGCCCTCTATTTCCCTGTGTCTCTCTCTCATTTTGTTTTGGTGTGTAAAAAGGGCATGAGGTTGCTGCTATTGCGGGATTTGTGGTATAGCAAGCATCTCCGTAAGGATATTAAACAGAGGAACTCATTAGTGGATTAAGAATAATTAGAGATCAATGTATTGCATGCAGAAGGTAAAACAGTCTATAGCAGTACTTGAACTCAGAATGTCAAAAATGATGGTCGAATTGGTATTTTTCTAGAACATATTACAAACTTTTGTTAGTCATATTTGTGTCAAAATTTTGAATGGTACACCTCTCTTTGGTATTGGCGTTTGGCACCCAAATTGGCAATTTTTGACTATTGATTAGTTTTAATTGTGGGAAAGAGGCAATGGATGATCATATGGGTTTCATGCATTTATTTTGTATGAAAATATAGATTTTAGTCAATTTATTTTGCATCATAAATAAGAAACAGGTTCTAGTGACCAAACATTAGATATAATCAACAACAATCAAAGTTCAGAAGTCGACTGGAGGAAATTAAACAGATTGCAGTGCAATGATAAACTATTTAGTTCCCTCCAATTCTACTCAATTAATTAATTTTAATTTCGGAGAATTAATAAATTGGATAGTTCACTATGCACTGCCACTGTATTTAGTTCAAATCCCATTCTAACCACCACTTGAGGCTTCTCTTAGACATTCTTAATGAGAATCACATTCCTCTCATTCGATTCTATTTTTACAAAACTAGCTTTATTTACTCTGTTTTGTTTGTCAGTTCCATTGATAGACTGGTTTAGAATACTGTTTCAGACTTTAAACTTCAATATAGTATTTAGATTCACATATGTTGAAATAAACTCAGTTAGAACCCTCTTTTTCCTTTAATTCACCCTTAATTTGTGTTTTTTATTAGCAGGTGAAGGTTTCACTTCCTGATTTTATTTTCATTCAATTAAATAAAATTGAGATGAACAAAGTAATTTGTTTGTTTTATTCTGAATCAAAAAACAGAAAATTCATTAAATCATGACTTGTCCAAAACATAAAGTTAGTAAACTCCTTTGTTAAAGTTTCAATAGTATAAGCATTTTACATATACATGAAGCATTTTAATTGTTTAGCAAAATAAAACCCAAAAACGTAGAAAAGAATGCTCAGAAGCCAAGCGTAACAAGAGTATTTCATTGAAGATCCACCACAAAGATGGATTCTTCTTACATGTTAGCTTCCTCATCACTGCATCTCATTGGGCAACATACCAATTTTGTTTATTTCATAATTTATTAAATAAGATATATATAATAAAGAACAAAAATATATAGCTACTGCAAATTTGGGGGAAGATGTTGAAACAAAACCACCACCTCCAATCGTGATAAGTAGCATTCTTTAGGCACCATGCAAAAGATGCTTTGTTCTTCAATCATGAAACAAAACACCCGTGTCTGACTGAATGCCATTTCACAAATTGCAGCTTCATGTGATAAGCCCAATTTATAATACATATGTATGTGTGTGCGTATGTATATGTATATATATATATATATATATATATATATGAATATAACCAGAGTATTGTGTCATGAAACAACAGTGAGTTCCATGGATCTTCTTCCGGTGGATTCATCTTGGCTCCAAGCGGCAGTCAGGTCACCATGAGTTTGGCACCTGCTGTTGACTCAGTTATAGAGCCTTCTTTTATCTAATCAATTACCCTTTATAAATATAAATATTCTATTAAAATAATAATATAAAATTAACATATTATATTATAATGGAGAACAAACGCTAAAAATTATTATCATATAGATCCGACGAAGAACAACTCTAACAGAAGAGCATTCAACAACACATGAGAGAGATCAGATCTTTAACATCATAACAACTATATTAACACCTTCATATATCAATTAAACACAATATCTCCAGCACAACTTATGAAGCACACCCAAACCCAAACCCAAACCCAAACCCAAATATTTATTCCAAACAAGCCCTAATAACTTTTAGGGCTGAATTGGAACAAACTTGTATTCCACCATTAAAATCATTCACATATGCTAATGAACCCAAGCGAATACCATATGACTGAAATAGAGCTATATATAACATGTATTATATATATTTATATACACACACACAGATTTATAAATACCTAATAGAACAGATAGATACAAGAAATCCTCTGATCACCAGTAAGCTCGCAGAAAAGAGGCACAATGCTAATGGTACATAGCGCTGAGCTACCGATGGCTAAATGGCTTATTTATATCGCTCCTTGAAAACCCTAATCGGTGGACGTGAGTGTATTTACCAAAGAGTCCCAAAGCCTTGCCAAATATGACGAGGACCGGGATGCCAATCAGAAACTATCGAGTGCGTGTGAGTTTTTTTTTTTTTTTTTTTTTTTTCAAAGATTATAAAAATAAAAACAATTCTCAATTTGAGACCAATCTGTGTTTAAATTAAGTAAATGTAAAATTCCAAAAAATAATAAACAAACTTTTCATAATATTAATTCTCTAAAGAATTAATTCTCTAAAGAATTAATATTACAACAAATTAATATTTGAAGAAAATATAATTGAAAAAAAATGAAAATTTCATAATGATCGGTGAACTTAGCTAGACAACTTTAATTTATTTTAAAAAATGACATGCCATGTGTTTTTCCAATCGAATACAAGCGAGAGTTGGACACCTAACCCAAACAAGCCGAATCTAACTCAAATTTTTTACATTATAAAATTGAGTTAGGGTTTTACTTTTAGAGGCTGATCTTATTTTGAATGATAGTTAAGTAAGAATTTCTCCAAACTAAGTGGGCAAAAATTCAGAATTTTTTTAAGTTTTTAATGTGACATGTTAGTTGAATTAATTAACGTTAAAGTTGCACGTTTTATTATTAGGTTATATTATTGGTTTAGAACATGCATGTACTAATTTTTATATAGATCTTATTTGTGTTAAATGGTTGGATTAATTATATTGCAATTTGTAATTTTTTTTTAATTTTGTTAAATAGACTTTTTTTTTTGGAAGGAAGGGGTGATATCGCTTGGTCAATTAGTCCTTAAGTAATTTGCAAATTAATATGACAAGAGTCTACTCATCTCTAATACAAGGTTATATGGACCTAATTCCAATTAAGATGCAGACAGTTTAGTTTTGTGACAACAAAAATCAAACTAATTATATTGATTTTATAAATATTGAAATCAAACCAAATCGTTAGAAGTAGTAAAACTGAATCAAAATAAACTGCAGTGATGAGTTTGATTTGTTGTACTTTTATGATTTTGGACTTTCATATACATATGATGTGTAAAATGAAAATCAAATATCTTATGTATCAAAGTCTATTATTAAGTTATACGTAGTATTAACTACCAATTTAAATTTAATAAGTCTCAATATATTTAAGGGCAAAGTCTAAAAATCATAAAAGTACAACAAAAAACTATTTTTAATTTCGCCCATGTAAAAATTTCCCTTGACTATTACAACAAATAAAAATATATTTTATTTCAACAAATAAAACTTCCCTGGACTATTTTAGACTTTGCCCTTAAATATATTTTATTTCAACAAATAAAACTTCCCTTGACTATTTTTATTTCAAAAAACCACCCCTCAATTATTAAAGGAGGTAACAGATATAGACTTTGCCCTTAAATATATTTTAAAAGTCTAAACTTCCCTCGACTATTTTAGACTTTGCCCGCAAAAGAATACTTTTGCGCTTTTTCACTAAACTTTTCTTGACTATTTTTATTTCAAAAAAAAACCCCCTCAATTATTAAAGAAGGTAACAGATTTATAAAGGACGTTAACTAAGGATGCAAAATGACTACAGTATCCGTTAGGCAAAATTTGTGAATTGCCATCATTCGCTTTGCAAAAATTCAACGGAGAGGCTAGAATTCACAATAATGAATTGATTTTTCTCCTATATAGGACCCAAGGAAAAATAATAATAATAATCACTTAGTCTAAAGCAACTTTTCAATTTTTCCATGAGTTATTTTTTTGTTGTTCCTTCATTTCATCATCAGGCAAGTGGTAGTACTTATCCTTTTGCGGATAAATATCTATTTACTCATCAGTGGTTGTCTTCGGGAGAGAGATATAATACTCTTTTTTTTTCTTTTTTTTTTTTCTTTTTTTTTTTTTTTTTATGTTTATACTGATTTCATCATGAGACAAGTAGCAGCATTTATTCTTTTGCAGATGAATATCTATTTACTCATCATTGGCTGTCTTCGGGAGATAGATATAATACTCTTTTTTATTTTATGTTTATACTGATATTTAAATTAATTTTTGAGTCCCAAATCTGGTATTGTAGACTGATATTTGAAGTTGCTTTGTGATAAACGTCTTTCAATCATACATTATTGTACAAACCAAACCAATGTGAGCAAATCACACCCATGTAACTATTTTTAATATCGTATTCAATATGAATCTATAGAAGCTTGTTAAATGCATTGTATTAGAATTGTAGTTTTGTTCTATTTAATTGCTTCAAACACCACCAATTGGTCTTCCTGGTAATGGGTTTTGATTTTTGTGTACTAAGTTGTGTGTGTGTGTGTGTTTTTTTTTTCATGAACTAATTAGCTGTGTTGGGTGTCTGTGAATTGTTGCAAAGGCATGGAGACTATCAACTTGCAACTTAACTGTCAGAAACTGTTAGTATTAGATCAAACATTTTATTATGATGGGTTTTCCTTTTCTTTACCAACAACCATTTTAATTTTATTTGTTTGAAAGTACAAAAAATTTCTATTGTGGTTTTTATGGTGATGGACTTCTGGTATTTTTATGTTATTTTGTGTATTTATTTATCCTGACAGCAACATAAATTTTATTTATTTATTTTTCAGAAGATGACAGCAATGGAAAATTTAATGGGAATATTACATATATAGCAGATATAAGGGATACTTTAGTCATTTTGTATCCTTAGTTAACGTCCTTACGAGTCTGTTATACCCCTCTAATAGTTGAAGGAATTTTTTAGAATTAAAATAGTCAGGAGGGTTTATAGAGGGAATTTTTTGGACTTTGCCCATATATTTAATATATATGTTTTGGCACTTTTAAATTTCAAATCAGAAACGAACGGTAAACTTAATATTCCTTTCGGTAAAGACTTAACTCCATCCACTCTGTTTCAAAATTTGAACAACTAAAAAAATTCAAGCTTTGGAAACTAAATGTGTGTCAATGGATTGAATTCTAAATCGAATTGGATAACGATGAAAATTTAATTAGATTAAGATTATATAATAATATATATTTATTATTTTAGATTAAGTACAGAAAACAATTATAAAGTACGTTTATATTGCATATCACATTTCTTACATGTAAAAAATACTTTAAAATTTTAATTTGGTACAAATAGGTAGATCATAAATTGACTAAATTACGGCCCATTTTATAAAATATATATAAAAATAAATAATTTTATAAAATGACAAAAATAGTGTATTGAATGATATACTTGGTGTAGCACTTTTACCCTATTTAAAACAGTGTACAAAAAAATTTCTATAATATTTTTACATTATACAAAAATAAACTCTCTTATATAAATTAGTACTGTAATTACACTTCCTCCACCAACCTTTTGATTTGGTCACCCTTTTTGTTGCGTCGTATTAAAGGAACACAGCGTATTTGCAGCTACACTTTGAGCACGTAGTAGAGAGAGAAAAGCTTTGAACAAGAAGATAGAGAGAGGGAGCAGGTCACATTTAACGACTATTTGACTCATTCCTTCTTAAACCTAACCCGCCCAAACAACTATCTCGAAAAACCTAGAAATTTTGAAGCTTTGATTTCGATTAATACCATCGATCAAAAGTTGTTCAAGGTCCGAGGACCTTGAAATTGATCATTTCTGAAAGTTTTAGAGCATCTCTGAAATTGACACGCTATGGAGGCAACACCGAGATCTGCTGTTCTTCCCCATGTAAATCCTTCCGGTTCAACTCTCCGTTCGAATCGTAAAACTGCCATGTAAGCCTCTGACAAATTACTCTGATACACATGCACATACACAAGTGGGTATAAATATACGCAATTGTGATATTGAGATGATTATTAGTTGATCATGTGTCTTGATTGATAACAAAATAGATTTACATTTTTCCTTGACTATATATATATATATATATATTGTATTCGTAGTTGTTAACTTGTCTGGATTTATTGAATATTTCTCCATTCTCCAAAATCAATAAAACAAAAAAAAAAAACGCCCAATTGTTTATTTATTGGTTGATTTTCAACAACCCTTTTGCATTTAATAGCAAAATTATACAGGTGAAAGAAGGAGGAAAGGTGATATTTTGACATTGATCTTGAATTTTTTAGATAGATTGTGTTATCTTTCTCAAGTGATGTTTGACCCAAAGCCCCAGTGACTCAAAGACCTTCCATTTTGACTCATGACAAAATCAGCCTAGAATTTGGTCTGGTTAGTGTAAGAGGAAACTCTCTGGAAATCAATTGAGGCTGATTATAGTTACAAGATAGTTTCAAAAAAAGTTTGACTTGTAAAGAGAGTGGAGGAAATGAGAAGAAGCGTGGATGAACTTGGGAATTAAACATGTGGAAATTATGTTGTAATAACAAGTATATGAGCAATGCCATTATGAAAAATACATGGCAGAAAGGAAAACGGGCAGTTTGACTGTCCAAGAACCAGAAATAACCACCCTTGAATCAAGTGAGAAGCAAGGTATTCCACATTAGACAATTTGCTTTAAACCCTTCAACACAAGCTCTTTAACTTTAGTTTCAGTTCCAAGCATTTTTACTTCCCTTGAGTTGCATTTCCATTTCCAGTTGTGTAATCTTTCATTTACAGTTATAGTTCAGTTCTAGTACTTTAGTTTGTTCAGTTGGTTTTTGCACTAAGCAAATATTAATTTGTTGCAATGAAGTTGAGATTTGAGAATTTGTGCAATGAATTACTCGTCAGTTTGGTACAGTTTGTTTATTGATCTCTTGTTAGTTTTATTTCGATTTGCAGTTGATTAAGTTATTTTCCAAGAGAAGTCATTTGGCAATACCAACTTGAGGGGAAGGGTCATCCCTACATTCCATAGCATTTTATCATTTTTATGTAGTATTCCTCCGTTAGAAATGTCTGTAAGGGATCAACTGACTGAATTAGTGCAGGAGCAATATGGTTTGGCCTTAAGAAGATTGGCCTACTTTTTTTGCATTGAAACTTCTCTCTCTCTATCTCTCTCTCCCTCTCCCCAATAGGTAAATATCCTCACACACACATGCTCTCATTGGGGCTTGAACCCTCAACCTCCCCTTTGGGAAGTTGGAGGACATACCACACAAGTCAAGAGGACTTTGGTGGTTTGTATAGGAAATCTTACCAAGAATGGGTCAACTGAATTAAGTTTCCTAGGGGATTCATAGTCAATTTATGCAAAAATCAAAACTTAGCTATGAGACTCCACAGTGGAAGGTTCCCAACAATACTTGCCTATTTACATGTATGCATTAATGTACACAAGTATGTGCTTTTTGTATATTGGCATTCATTTAGTTTGTTAGTGTGTTATATGATAATGCTTTTTATTTTATTCTTGAAATTAAGTTTGCCCTTTGTCTTTTTATTGATAGATCATGCCCTCAAAGTAGACGTGTTATGCTTGCCTATGGCTGTTCATCCAAAGGATCACGAGTTTTTGATTCACGTACCTGTCGAGCATCTATGCTTTCATCTTCTGACTCAAGTGATGAAAGGAATAGCAGTCTAGGGGGATCATACGCAGGTGACCCGAAGAAGAGGAACCTAATTGGGCAAACATTTTACTCTACGGGAGTGTGCACATATCCTGGAAGTGGTGTTGCATCTCCTTCACATGCCGCAGAAGAAAAAATAGGAGTGCTGCTTCTGAATCTTGGAGGACCGGATACGCTGCATGACGTTCAACCATTTTTATTCAATTTATTTGCAGACCCAGTATGTTAGTCAACCTATTTATGCCCAAATATTAATGTATAGATAGTAGATACAAAGTGAAGTTGGTTGTATGTTTTTTTTGGTTGCGTTAATGATTATAATGCTTTAAGACAGGATATTATACGTCTCCCCAGGCTGTTCCGATTTCTTCAGCGCCCACTGGCACAACTGATTTCTGTGTTCCGGGCTCCCAAAAGTAAAGAAGGGTATGCTGCCATAGGTGGTGGCTCACCTTTGCGAAAAATAACAGATGAGCAGGTAAAACTTATTTTGACCTGACAAAATGCATGATTTTGTCCATGTTTTGATTTTTTATAGCATTTTTTAATTTTTATAGCATCATCTTGTTCTTGTTCTTAATTGCTAGTTTTGTGTTTTTGTCCTCTCTGTCTTCCCCCTCTACCTCTCCTCTCCTCTCCTCTCATCTCATCATCTCCTCTTCTGTTCTTTGTTAGTGTGCTACTCTTGTTTGTTTGTATGTAGTCTCTCATGACGTTAACAATTGAGCTGTTCGTTGCAGGCAACTGCACTTAAGATGGCATTGGCAGCAAAGGAAATGCCTGTCAATGTCTATGTCGCAATGCGTTACTGGCACCCGTACACTGAGGAAGCTGTTCAACAGGTTAGTCTTTAAAAGATCTCATGATGACTTGTCAAAAAAAAAAAATAGAAGATCCCATGATGATTCCCATTAATGTATTATTCTGTTTTTCGTTTTATGCTAGCAAGTTCCCTATTGTATTGAACCACGTTGTGTGTGTGTGTCCCTTTGTGCCTGCATGTCTATCTTGTTTATGTGTCTGTAGATGACTGCAATGTCAGGTCTTCTGAATACATTCTTATACAAGCCAATCAATATGCTGAAGAAATGAAAACTTTTCCATTGGGTCACTGCTGCCTGATTTAGAATTCTCCAGGGTGATGCTAAAACAAGGAGAATGTGAAAGGACCAAGTGTCCTGATATATATATTAGACTACAACTAGGATGTCTAGTATAAGGTTGCATTTACCTGTTTTAATGTGTTGGTGTAAACGGATGCCTTAAAAAGATGGAATGGAACTTCGGAACGCTTTCTAATACCTATTTACTAATAAATAAAAAAATAGATGGCACGGAACAGTATGCTGAGTAAGGCATTTTGTGTGTGTGTGTGTGGGGTGGGGGGGGGGGGGGGGGGGGGGGTGTTAGTCCTGACGTTTATATGTACCTCTTCCTATCTGTAAACACACTGCTTCTGTCTTGTTGCATTTATCTTAAACTAACGGCGTCAAGTAGTTTCTTAGGCATTCCATTTGAAGAACTCAAATCCATTTTGCTTGCTGATTTGTCTGCTTCATTGCCCCTAATCCTTTTTGTTCCATCGGTTGAGTGGAGTAACCTTTGTTATTGTTTTCTAGTCTGCTCTGATTACCCATTTTTGGCCAAGCATTTCTTGTCATATGTATAAATCAGTTAAATCAACGTGTTTGACATATCCTTATTCTCTGACAGATGAAGAGGGACGGGATTACAAGGCTTGTTGTGCTGCCACTTTATCCTCAATTTTCCATCTCTACAACAGGGTCAAGCATCCGTGTCCTGCAAAGTATATTCAGGTTGAAATCTTGGTTCACTGTGTGAACTCCATAACAGCATGGATAGGGATTTTATTTATTCTACTTTTTCCACCTTGACAAACGTACCTAAATTTGTATTTCTATTAGGGATGATGCATATTTGTCAAGACTGCCCACTTCTATAATACAGTCCTGGTATCAACGCGAAGGTTATATCAAATCAATGGCAGACTTGATTGAGAAGGAGTTACAGATTTTCTCCAAGCCTGAGGAGGTGGGCTTCATAATTTTGGTTGCCTTATTTGGCATGATTCTCTCGATGCACAAGATTTATAAACTTATGTTGTATTGTCCATCATTTGAGATTTGCTGCTTCTGCAAAGCATTACGTAGTGTTTTTATGGTATTCTAGGTCATGATATTCTTCAGTGCCCATGGGGTACCAGTCAGTTATGTTGAGCGAGCGGGAGATCCATATAGAGATCAGATGGAGGAGTGCATTCTCTTGATTATGCAAGAGCTGAAAGCAAGAGGAATCGACAATAGTCATACTCTTGCTTACCAGGTAGTTACACAATCCAAGTCATTATGTTCTAGCTGCTGCTTCAAGCTTTGCTTTTATATCTGTCAAACTATCTATTTTCCATGACACACCCCTAACGAAATCCTATGACATGTCTAATTTTTGTGGTATTAGTGTTTTGATTTTCACTCTGTTTATGTCAGAGTCGAGTTGGGCCTGTACAATGGTTGAAGCCCTATACAGATGAAGTTCTTGTTGAGCTTGGGCAAAAAGGCGTGAAGAGTCTCTTGGCTGTTCCAGTTAGGTATGTTATAAATAGTTAAGTGGCATTTGCTGTTGCTGGAAATATGACATAAGGACCTTTATCTCATAGTCCTCTTGGTGCATGATTATTTGGTTTAAGTCTGCAATAAATAGTTTATTATAGGAGAATCCTCTTCAATAGATTTGTTATTTTGTCTTGGAAAGGTGCATCACCTAAAGTTACAGTTTTATTGCTGTCAACTTTTATAACAATTCTGATACAGTATATGTTTCAGTCCTTATTAGCTGGATCTTAAATCGATTATTGACCATATTGGCACCTTAAGTGAGCAGTTTAACAGTTCTAGATGTATTTAACTACCTTTAGCTATTTCTTACAAGTATTATTATGTAAAACACATTTTTAGGTGCAGTGCTACGTATTATTTTTCTACCATAGTCCAGAATGAATTCCAATACAATATATGTTTCAGTCCTTGTTATCTGGATCTTAAATCAATAATTGACCATGTTGGGACCATAAATGAGCAGTTTAACAGTTCAAATGTATTTAACTACCTTTAACTATTTCTTACGAGTATTATGTAACACACATGTTTAGGTGCAGTGCTACATATTATTTTTCTGCATTTTATGGTATTCCGAGAACATAGTCCAGAATGAATATGTGCCTGGGTGTTGCAGCTTATTTTCAGCTTTATATAATCTCTTGTGAGAAAGATACTCTGTAACTCAGAGTAAGAATATTTAGCCATTTTGCACAATTATTTTAATTATTTTGGGAATATGATTCCAATATGCTGTTCGGATAAGCAACCTCAGACCTCTTCCGCAAGTTAGTTTTCTGTAAGTTGCGACAAAAAGGTGGTATTAGAATAGGCATGGATGAATTGTGGGTTTGATCTTGATTTTCACGACATAATGCTCATGAACTTTCTACCAATAAATTGGATACTGCCATACTGGCTCCTTATTGTTGGATTAAAAAATCGTAATTCGCTGGTATGATTGGTACATATTCTGGAGGGCCCGGAATTGTGTGATTGTTGTTGTTATGCTAACATGCAAGTGGAATTTTCTTGAATGTTATAACATGCTGTGGAAGTATTAGAGGGCTTCACATCATGGTTGTATTTAATTGAGTTGTGTTCTACATCTGTTGAATTGACTTCTCCTATGAGGTATCTCATACATTTGAGATGTCAGATAGGAAGTTTAGATCATGAGAATTTGGGGTTCACATGCTAACAAGTCCCTTTCTGCCTTCACTGCTTATTAGAGATTTTGATGGGATAATTCCGTTAATGAATATCTCGAGTCTGGACTAGTGGTCATGTATGTTTGCGATACTAGAGGAACCCGACAACTTGGTAATGTAAAGAATGAGTTTGAGAAAAGAAGTGAGGAAGTCAAAGGTTGAATGAATAGCAGTGGATGAATGCAACTACTGCTAATTAGCCTAGGTGGTATTTTTTTTCCCTAAATGATGGAACATCAATTGAAGTATTTTCCCTTTTGTTAATGAACTAATTAGTAACATAAGTCCATGAAGGTGACATCTATTTCATCTTCATGTCTTAGTTCATTTGGAGGACTGAGCTTGCTAGATCTTAACCTGATATATGTCATGCATAATTATTGTTTTTCATTTTTTTTCTTAAAACTTTTAGTTAATCTATAATGTGATGGTAACTATGAATTTTTTGTATCCTTGAAATTCCAGCTTTGTAAGCGAGCACATAGAAACTCTTGAAGAGATTGACATGGAGTACAAGGAATTGGCTCTAGAATCTGGCATAGAGAATTGGGGTCGTGTCCCTGCACTGGGTTGCACTTCCTCCTTCATAACCGATCTGGCAGATGCAGTGATCGAAGCCCTTCCTTCAGCGGTTGCCATGTCAACCTCAAGTGATATGTCTGACGAAGTCGATCATGATCCAATGGGTTACTTTATCAAATTGTTTTTTGGTTCAATCTTAGCATTTGTTTTGCTTTTTTCACCCAAAGTGATATTAGCGTTCAAGAATCAACTCTACTAGAGGAATCTGTGAGATGATACCACTGCTGAATGCAGCTATAGTTATGGAGAATAAGAATGAAAGTTGAACATGGTGGCAGAGTTATTTGAAATTTTATAGGCATTTTTAGTAAGTCCATCATTTTCTCCCTTTTTGTTCAAGGGTAAAAATATGATATAAAATACAAGATTTGTGAGATATTATTTTTGTAAGCAGGTAATAGTTTTGATTCGTGCTAATTAATTTCGAATATACATGTTATGTTTGTTATAAAGGCATTGGATTGTACAACATTTGTGCAACAATCTAGATTATACATGTTTGTGTTTATATATATATATATTTTTTAGTGAAATACACTTTTAAGTGTATGAGTTAATTAAATAATTTGACTTGTTGATCCGCAGTATAAAATAAAATTTTAATTTTGGTTTGTACTTTTGAGTACTAATGGTTGAATGATATTGCATCATTGGTAAAACAAAGAATTGTGTATTTTAAATAAATTTCAGCCCTGCAAACTTCAACAATATTTTCTTCTAACTACATTATATCATAATCAAGGGTCTTGTGATCCAATAGTATTTTTTTTATATTCTAAATTGGATGGTGAAGGTTTTAGTTTTCAAAGGAACAAAAGTGAGTGTGAGTGTGTTTTTTTTGTCAATGACAATAAAAACACGGACCTTGTGAGTGGCGCGTGCATATCACGACTTTGATTAATTTTAAATTCCCTTACACTCACATGCATATCAAATTAATTGTGATTTATTTTAAGTTACAAATCCATCTCTTGGTTTGTCTTTGTTAATTCTATTCTTATCACATAATTTTATTTTAAAAATTAAATTAGAATTTTTATAACACAATTGTTTGAGCAGTATTATGGTTTATGATACATCCCTTGCACAATGAATAGGATTGGCCAAGACTGCAATGTGATGAGAGTGAGAAACCACCTCGGGAATTTATAAGACAGTCAGGAAGACCAAGGGAGAATAGGAGGAGTGAGCCTCACATGTTGGAAACAAGAAAATTGTTGAAAATATAATGTTACTAATTTTCAATATTTATAGCGGATCTCGATCATGTAAATAAAATAGTGACAATAATGTTACTATACTAATAATAGTTAAATTAAAAATGAATAAAAACTATGCATGAAAGAACCCGTTAAGAATTTTATTATATCTTCATAAGATAAATTTTGTCTTGTTAGGTGCTAAATGATTCATAATGTTGTTTATCTCCTAAGATACAACGATTTTCTTTCATGAGTAAGTTTAGTAACAACACTTTACAATAATAAAATGTGCAAACCAACTCAGGACTCAGAGAAAATGACATTAGACTCGAACCTGTACCTGCAAATTAAGAAGCCTTCGCCTTCATCTTCCGTCGAAGAACAACAGGTTGATTTTCTTGCCTCTAATGTGTCTAAGTCAGTTCACTTCGTCAATGGACAGCAAATTCTAGACGCCATTGCAATGTAAGTGATGTTTTTGGATTATTATCACATATTTATTGTTTGCTTTTGGCTTGTGACTCTGTGTACGTACTCCTCTGTGTTGTGGAGATGCATTGATTGGTTGGTTGAAGTTTGATTGTGAATTATCAATTGTCTCTTCTTCTTGTTGCTTATTGTCTAGTTCAAATGGAAATCTAATTCTAAGGGACGGATATCGTATAGAGTTGTGCGCGTTGAACACGTGTTAGGTTAGGTTAGGATAGGAGATTCACACTTCTCCACAACGCCTTGACACAATTTTAATGTTGATTTTTACTTTTAAACTTGTCTTGGGCCTTTGATCACACTGCAAATTTACCCTATGACATGCTCTCTTCCTTTTCTACCTTGAGCCACATCTGACCTTTCTTCTCTCCACCCCTTCATCACTCTACGCTCTTTCTCATCACCCCTGCAACGTTATGAAACCGAGGATTGTTGTTGCTCCTCATTCCCTGTTGGAAATAAACTTGATTTTCGAATTTTTGTAGTAATTAGTATTTTCAAGTATTTGGTATCAAAAGAGCAAAGCCAACAAAGTGGTATCAGAGCTAAGTTTCATGATCAAAGCCTAAACAACAATGAAAATAAGAGAAAGTCAGATGGAAGGTCAATCTCTAGTAAATCAATCTGTCGTGCTTGATTTAGGTTCACTGAATTGGGAAGGGGTGAGCCAACTGACGCGCACACAACAAACAAGGACAAGCTTAGAAAGAAAAAGTGTTAGCAATAACAGTGAATAATAGGTGAAGGCTATAACCGAAGGCCTAACGAAATTCATCCTATAAGGTTCAATATTTTGAGAAAAACATGTTTCTCATTGATGATGGTGAAGAAGAGAGAATGTATTTTCTTGGTGAGAAGTGTCTGCTTCACTGGAATAGATGCTTGTCTTTTTAGGCTATGGGCCTGGCTTTACATAACTCTTGTACTGGACCTTTTGGTCTTTGATTTGTCTACTGGGTCTCTTGGGCCTGTCAATGACAAGCTTTTTGGGCCTCTGGCCTTTTACTGTACACACATTTCTTATATATAAAACTGCTTGACCTTCCGGGCCAAAAAATATATAAGTGGATTTGTTAGATTGTCAAGGGTGTGCTGAGGAGATGGGTGATAGTGATGTGCTGTTGGCATAACAGCGGTGGAGAAATGGAGGTGCAACTGTGGGGCATGAGGTGGTGGATTAGGGCCGTTGGAGACGGTTTTGAGAGAGAGAGAGTTCAAAGAATTTTCAGGTGGTGAATAGTGACACCACTGGCGGATCCAGGGTAGGGCTGGGCTGGGCTCCAGCCCACCCCAAATTTATTTTTTATTTTTTATTACTATGGGTATTTTTAGCCCAGCCCAAAAAAAAAATTAATTATTAATATTAACCCACCCAAATAAGCCCAAGTCAACTAAGTCACAATATTAAAATAAAGGTCCAAGCCTAACAAGCCCTATTAAGGATATGTATTAGGATATGAAGTAAAACATATTTTGAGATAAAATTATTGTAGAGGTAGTTCTGAAATTATATATATAGCATAAATTCTTAATGTCAACACTCTCAAATCATCATGAAAAATAAGCAGAGCTCCTGTGTTTATCTAGAAAGTATTCAACAAACAAACAAAAAAATCTATGGTATTATAAACTATGAAAATTTGATAATTTTGATCTCTAGTAGACAAGGAGTATTAGTATAAAAGAAAAGATCTATATCCAATAATTCACAAATCAAAGGTTACTAACTTACTACCGATTTAGATAAAACAAATATAGATGGGTAAGTGTTAGAATTTCAAATTAATTTATAAAATAAAACCACAAACAAAAATTACAACAATTCAATCTTTAAAACCAAAAAAATTTGTAAAATAAAATCACAAACAAAAATTACAATAATTCAATCTTTAAAACCAAAAAAACCAAATATGAAACGTGTTAAAACATAGCACGATGAGAGATGAATTACCTTGTTTGAAAATTTGACTTGGAGTCTATTATCGACGAATTCGAATCTTTAAACACTCATCGAGCACAACTTAGATAAATATTTTGTAATATTTGAATTCAAATATTTATCTAGATTATTTTATAAAAAAAATTTGCTTAAGAAATTATGTTATTAAATTTATGTTTAATTTTAACCCAATCCACTAACAATTCCTGGATCCACCATTGGATTGGTGAATACGGAATAGATTACAATTGTGCTTGACCGGTTGTATTGTTTGGGCCATGGGCCTGCCTTTATATAAGTCTTGTACTGGATCATTTTGGTTTTTGTTTTGTCTACTGGGTCTCTTTGTTCGGTCAAGGACTCTCATTTTTGGCCTCTAGCCCTTTACTGTACACACATTCTTATATGTAAAATTGCTTGAACTTCCTGAGAAAAAAATATGACCGGATTGTAAGATTGTCAAGGGTGTGCCGAGGCTGCTGGAGACGGTTCTGAGAGAGACAGTTCGAAGAATTTTCAGATGGAGAAGGTGGGTAGGGCGGAGAAAATACGGAAGATCAAAGGGGTATAATTGACTTTGTATTTCTTTCAAATTTTGTTAATTTTTATTTAAAAACTAATAAAATAACTTCAGAGCAAAGACGTCAATATACGTTTTAATAATTTGTGCTTAACACATCTTTGTAAATAAGATAAGATCTATGACTTGTAAAATTACAAAACAGATAATAATTATTAAAAAAAAAAAAAACTCATCCAAAATAAAATCCATGTTTCGTGTGTATTCTAGCATATAATTTTTTTTTAAGTATCCTTGACCCAGAAAAATGAGAAAAGAATCAATGGTTGTTGCTGCAGCTCATGATTTTCATGGACATCTTGTTATTTAGTTTAATATAAACAAAGAAAAAGACCATGTCAGAGCTACTACATCTGCTTATCATCTCCAAAGATCTACTGCCTGAATCTTTAGAATGAACATATATAACATTGATATCAATATGAAAAGTGCAAAATTTCAATCTATTTTGATTCGTTCTTATGATTGCTGGCAGCCAGAGGACAAGCAAACATGATCATGAGTTTGAGCTACCCTAGCTTGAATGAAGCATTACCTGATCACTACAAGCAGGGTTCGGTAGACTTGAGCTGCAAGGATGTCATTTTTTGGCATCATGGAGGATTGCATTGATTGATTATGTATTCACAAAGCATTGGACAAGAAAAATATGATTCTCAACATGCCTTTTAATGTGTTTAGCGATTGTGTAGTGTGATGATGCATATGCTTATTTTTCCTTGATGATGCAGATGCTTATTTTTGTTGCGTAACATGTGGATTTGTCTCTCTCTGGTTATAGTCCCTCTGTTCAACATCAAAGGGGAGCACATGACATTGAGGAGGGCACTGGTGGCATGAAGAGAAAATTTGAAGCATAGCTATGTAACTGTACATTTTTGGAACATAAACTCAATGTGATTGCTTGCAGTCAGCAGCTACTGTTAAAATGTAGTTTTGGACAGAAGTTTCATCCTAGTTTTCTTTGGCTGATGACGATGATGTTGTATGTTCCACTTACTTATCTATGCATTCCGTTATTGATTTTTTTTCATTTTTGGTTTTGACTGCCTACCAGTTTCATTTTTTTCTCCATATTTCATGTCCACCATGTACCTTTCCTACATGTCCATTAAACCTCTGATGCTTAAAATTCTCCTCTTCAGGTAATCCTATATATATAAACTTCACTTTATTGAGACCTTATCTCACCAATTTCAGACCTTATCTCACCAATCTCAGAACTTAGCTCACCAATCCCAGAACTTATCTCACTAATCCCAGAACTTATCTCAGCAACAAGTACCATAATCTCAGCAAATT